GAACACAAAATAGCATGCAATGAGTTTTACTAGGACTTCAGCAGTGCATGGCCGGACAATACCAAGTCTCCAGCCCTCTTCCCGTCGTTTTGAAGCTAATTTTCTGCAATTCTACACAGTTTGTCATGGGGCAGAGAGAAAACTTTGCAGATTGAGTACTGTGGATACCAACAACCCTGTGAGCCTCCCAGGCCCATGTTGCCCAGGGTTACGAACATACATTGTAGATGAATAATATTACATTGTAAACATATTCCACGGATCCCTTGGTCAAAATACTGTTAGTAATTTAAAAAGTGAAAAGTACAACAACAAATAAATATATATATATATATATATATATATATATATATATACATACACACAGTGGGGGGAAAAAAGTATTTAGTCAGCCACCAATTGTGCAAGTTCTCCCACTTAAAAAGATGAGAGAGGCCTGTAATTTTCATCATAGGTACACGTCAACTATGACAGACAAAATGAGAAGAAAAAAAAAATCCAGAAAATCACATTGTAGGATTTTTAATGAATTTATTTGCAAATTATAGTGGAAAATAAGTATTTGGTCAATAACAAAAGTTTCTCAATACTTTGTTATATACCCTTTGTTGGCAATGACACAGGTCAAACGTTTTCTGTAAGTCTTCACAAGGTTTTCACACACTGTTGCTGGTATTTTGGCCCATTCCTCCATGCAGATCTCCTCTAGAGCAGTGATGTTTTGGGGCTGTCGCTGGGCAACACGGACTTTCAACTCCCTCCAAAGATTTTCTATGGGGTTGAGATCTGGAGACTGGCTAGGCCACTCCAGGACCTTGAAATGCTTCTTACGAAGCCACTCCTTCGTTGCCCAGGTGGTGTGTTTGGGATCATTGTCATGCTGAAAGACCCAGCCACGTTTCATCTTCAATGCCCTTGCTGATGGAAGGAGGTTTTCACTCAAAATCTCACGATACATGGCCCCATTCATTCTTTCCTTTACACGGATCAGTCGTCCTGGTCCCTTTGCAGAAAAACAGCCCCAAAGCATGATGTTTCCACCCCCATGCTTCACAGTAGGTATGGTGTTCTTTGGATGCAACTCAGCATTCTTTGTCCTCCAAACACGACGAGTTGAGTTTTTACCAAAAAGTTATATTTTGGTTTCATCTGACCATATGACATTCTCCCAATCCTCTTCTGGATCATCCAAATGCACTCTAGCAAACTTCAGACGGGCCTGGACATGTACTGGCTTAAGCAGGGGGACACGTCTGCACTGCAGGATTTGAGTCCCTGGCGGCGTAGTATGTTACTAATGGTAGGCTTTGTTACTTTGGTCCCAGCTCTCTGCAGGTCATTCACTAGGTCCCCCCGTGTGGTTCTGGGATTTTTACTCACCGTTCTTGTGATCATTTTGACCCCACGGGGTGAGATCTTGCGTGGAGCCCCAGATCGAGGGAGATTATCAGTGGTCTTGTATGTCTTCCATTTCCTAATAATTGCTCCCACAGTTGATTTCTTCAAACCAATCTGCTTACCTATTGCAGATTCAGTCTTCCCAGCCTGGTGCAGGTCTACAATTTTGTTTCTGGTGTCCTTTGACAGCTCTTTGGTCTTGGCCATAGTGGAGTTTGGAGTGTGACTGTTTGAGGTTGTGGACAGGTGTCTTTTATACTGATAACAAGTTCAAACAGGTGCCATTAATACAGGTAACGAGTGGAGGACAGAGGAGCCTCTTAAAGAATAAGTTACAGGTCTGTGAGAGCCAGAAATATTGCTTGTTTGTAGGTGACCAAATACTTATTTTCCACCGTAATTTGCAAATAAATTCATTAAAAATCCTACAATGTGATTTTCTGGAAAAAAATTTCTCAATTTGTCTGTCATAGTTGACGTGTACCTATGATGTAAATTACAGGCCTCTCTCATCTTTTTAAGTGGGAGAACTTGCACAATTGGTGGCTGACTAAATACTTTTTTTCCCCACTGTATGCTGTTGTGTTAAGATTTCTCTTCACTGGAACTAAGGGGCCTAGCCCGAACCATGAAAAACAGCCCCAGACCACTATTCCTCCTCCACCAAACTTTACAGTTGGCACTATGCATTCAGGCAGGTAGCATTCTACTGGCATCGGACAAACCCAGATTCGTCTGTCGGACTGCCAGATGGTGAAGTGTGATTCATCACTCCAGAGAATGCGTTTCCACTGCTCCAGAGTCCAATGGCGGCGAGCTTTACACCACTCCAGCCGACGCTTGGCATTGCGCATGGTGATCTTCGGCTTGTGTGCGGCTGCTCGGCCATGGAAACCCATTTCATGAAGCTCCCGACGAACAGTTATTGCGCTGACGTTGCTTCCAGAGGCAGTTTGGAACTCGGTAGTGAGTGTTGCAACCGAGGACTGACTATTTTTACGTGCTACGCGCTTCAGCACTCGGCGGTCCCGTTCTGTGAGCCACTTCGCGGCTGAGCCGTTGCTGCTCCAAGAAGTTTCCACTTCAGAATAACAGCACTTACAGTTGACCGGGGCAGCTCTAGCAGGGCAGAAATTTGACGAACTGACTTGTTGGAAAGGTGGCATCCTATGACGGTGCCACATCGGTATGGCCATTCTACTGCCAATGTTTGTCTATGGAGATTGTGTGGCTGTGTGCTCAATGTTATACACCTGTCAGCAACGGGTGTGGCTGAAATAGCCGAATCCACTAATTTGAAGAGGTGTCCACATACTTTTGTATATATAGTGTAAATAGATTTTCGCTTTTCTCACTAACAGCAAATGATTGCATCTTGTTATTATATTTAACTACCTGTTCGTTATGAATAAGTCATCATATATTCCCCACTTGCTCAAGGCTATGAGGTTACTGGAATAACCGAATCCACTCATTTTTGTCCACATACTTTTGTATATATATATATATATATATATATATATATATATATATATATATATATATATATATATATATATATATATATATATATATATAGTGTATTAGGCGACATGCTGCTATGCAACCTTCTTACCAATGGCAAATGCATCTGTTTTATCAGTAGGCCTAGGTTTTAATGTTTTTATTAGCCTACCCTGATTATATAATTCCTGTGCATCAAACACCTCCATTTCCCCCTAAATAACAATATTTGCTTGCAATACTGTGTACAGTCGTGGTCAAAAGTTTTGAGAATTACACAAATACTAATTTTCACAAAGTCTGCTGCCAACGCATACATAATATTAGAGGCTAGCACTGGAGTAATATGATCAAATTTGTTGGTTCTAGTCAAGATTCTAGCAGCCGTGTTTACCACTAACTGAAGTTTATTTAGTGCTTTATCCGGGTAGCTGGAGAGTAGAGCATTGCAGTAGTCTAATCTAGAAGTGACAAAAACATGGATGAGCTTTTCTGCATAATTTTTGGATAAAACGTTTCTGATTTTTGCAATGTTACGAAGATGGAAAAAAGCTGTCCTTGCAATATTCTTGATATGTTCGTCAAAAGAGAGATCAGGGTCCAGAGTAACGCTGAGGTCCTTCACAGTTTTATTTGAGACCACTGTACAACCATCAAGATTAATTGTCAGATCCAACAGCAGATCTCTTCGTTTCATGGGACCTAGAACTAGCAGCTCTGTTTTGTCCGAGTTTAAAAGTAAAACATTTTCCGCCATTCACCGGAAAAATAGGATGATCGAGGGTGCGACTGCATCTACGGTATTACGCAAGGTTACATTTAGATCCTCAGGTGGTTAACCGATTTTTGTACTCTGACGTCCTTTGGTAGGTTTAGGGAGTCTGGAAGGGCATCTAGTAATCTTTGGGTTGTCAGAGAATTTATAGCACAGCTTTTGATGATCCTTGGTTGGGGTCTGAGCAGATTATTTGTTGCGATTGCAAATTTAATAAAATGGTGGTCCGATAGTCCAGGATTATGAGGAAAAACATTTAGATCCACAATATTTATTCCACGGGACAAAACTAGATCCAGGGTATGACTGTGGCAATGAGTAGGTCCGGAGACATGTTGGACAAAAACCACTGAGTCGATGATGGCTCCGAAAGCTTTTTGGAGTGGGTCTGTGGACTTTTCCATGTGAATATTGAAGTCACCAAAAATGTGAATATTATCTACCATGACTACAAGGTCCAATAGGAATTCCGGGAATTCCGGGAACTCCGTGAGGAACGCTGTATACGGCCCAGGAGGCCTGTAAACAGTAGCTATAAAAAGTGATTGAGTAGGCTGCATAGATTTCATGACTAGAAGCTCAAAGTACGAAAACAGTCATTTAATTTTTCGTAAATTGAAATCTGCTGATGTAAATGTTAGCAATACCTCTGCCTTTGCAGGATGCGTAGGGGATATGTTCACTGGTGTAACCAGGAGCCATGTTTCAGTCCAATCACATCAAGATTATGATCAGTGATTAGTTAATTGACAATAACTGCCTTGGAAGAGAGGGATCTAACACTAAGTAGCCCTATTTTGAGATGTGCAACATCACAATCTCTTTCAATAATGACAGGAATTGAGGTCTTTATTCCAGTGAGATTGCTAAAGCCAACACTGCCATGTTGAGTTTTGCCCAACCTAGATCGAGGCAGACACTGGCTCAATGGGGATAGCTGAGCTGACTACACTGACTGTGCTGGGAACGTTTTGTATCGAATGTCTATAAGGCTAAGGCAATCTAATTAGATACATTGAAGTTGCAAAGGCACAAGCTACATGTCCAGACAACCATGCAATTCTGACTTTACAGTTAAGTAATTTAACTTAAATGTAAAAGTTTCCACCTACCTGAGGTTGAGTATAAATGGTGTCCAAAGTTCTTTTCTTCAGTCCATCGACATTTCGAAGCCGTCGTCGATGATTTAAATATGAATCAATTAGTCCTCCTGAGCTACATTTTCTAAACAAAACAAGTTTATGGCGTTGTTGTAACCCTTAAGTGGTCTTCATTCGATGTACACTTCATAGACTAGAGGGAACCTCCTAAGTGACGTCAGCATTTATGACGCAGCACCTGAGCGCGGGAGAGAAGAGTGACGGACTGTTTCTAGTGCTCGAGACATAATGAGCTTTACTCAATACTCTAGCACACATATCCACACATTTATGGAGACCATAAGAAAAAGATAAACACAAGTCGAGAAATATTCATTTATTGTCCTCACTTGTAATGTTACATGATAAATAATAATTTAATATGCCATTTAGCAGACGCTTTTATCCAAAGCGACTTACAGTCGTGTGTGCATAAATTTTTACGTATTGGTGGTCCCGGGGATCGAACCCACTACCCTGGCGTTACAAGCGCCGTGCTCTACCAATTGAGCTACAGAGGACCACAATTGTGAGGTATCAAAATTAAAATCTTTACCAAGAGAGAAAAAAAAGTGTCATGAATGAGAAGCCAAAAATGGAAATGACTTTGTGCAAGGTTGAGTGAATATAATTGATGCACTGATGAAACCTCGGATGTATAGCTTGTGATGTACACGTGACCTCTAACAGCTTTGAGTGAGCTACAGTAAGCTGTTGTGCCTTCACCTACATATGTATTAATGCAACAATATGAAAAACAGACGTTCCACATAAAAGGAACCAAGAATGAGAAGATCTAACCCAAATAGCAAACAAATCCACTGCTGTACAATTCAGCTACCAAATACCAAGTACTTTCAAATCTAATGAAATCTCTACTGGCCAAAATAAAGCAAACCTCAGGTTTTAGTGCAATTGGATGGACCTTTGACATAAACATTCTCACTGTCGGTTCTTTCATCATCTGGGTCATGTTCATTAGGGCATACCTTAGCAAAATGTTTTGCAACAGAAACCAAAAACAAGTGTTCCTTATTGGACAAGTTCAGATCACACTACCTCCCCATTTCCCAGTTTTTCTGCAGTTTCAAGCCTACTGAACACGACCCAGATCAGCTCATCGCGCCTGTGCATCAAACGCAATGCCCATCAAACCCAACACACGTCACCATTAGACGAAGACACCCCTGAAGACAGAGAATAAACAATCTTAGGGGCTCCTCTGTTCCTTTCCATGGCGGAAGCCACCAGGGGCCACTCCTTCACCAGACCCCATTCCACTAAGCTCTTCTCTGATCCAGAAGACCCCCTCTTGTCATCCTCATGGCCCTGGGGGTTGAAGGCGTTACGCAGGGACTGCAGGGCAGAGTGGAGCTCATCCCGGGCCGCCACGACGGTCTGCAGGCAGGGCAGATGGAGGCTGAGGTTTGTGGTAGCCGACCGCGTGACGCCCCTGGGGAGGCTGTTGATGACCCCGTCGATGGTCTCGGACGAGGAGAAGACCGCTTCTCGGCAGGCACCGAGGCTGGAGTCACTGCTTTTACCTGGGCACAGGAAATGTATATATTACACACACACACACACACACACACACGCATCCAACTTACTGGTCATTTAATTTCATAGACCACATAACCTTCATCCTCCTGTCTCCTTCTCTTGATGATTACTGGTTGATAAAAAGAACTGCATACAATTCCACTATACTGCTCAAACCTATCCAGCACATAGGTAGAAGTCACAACGGAATAAGGAAAATAAAGCATTTAGGAGGTCAGTTCCATCTTAGACAATGGCCTTTATGTTTTGGGGGTAATACTGGAGGAAACTGTGGCCTCTTTTCTCCTCGGTCAGACTGTGTGAGTACCTCGGAGGGAGAGAGCAGAGCGGAGCTGCCTGATAGCCTGACTGGATCAGAACCAGAGTATTTGACTGAAGTGTTTCCCAAAGGCTCGCCCCGCTCCAAATTTCATGTGTGCTGCTATAGCCCCTTACTTTAGCTATAGAAAAATCTAAATACAACTCCGCATCCCTGCCCAGCCTGGAAAGAGTGGCCCGAAGGGTGTTTAGAATCCCCAGTGGCTCTGCAAGTGTGGAGAGGATATTCTCCGCTGCTGGCCTGATCTCCAGGCACCATGGAGAGGATATTCTCCGCTGCTGGCCTGATCTCCAGGCACCATCGCATGAGCCTGAAGCCACAGACTGGCCAAACTCGCATTTCTAAAAATGGAATTCAAAAGCACAGCGCATAAGTGATTTTTAAGTTTCATTTTCATATGCCCAATTTATAGACTATAAATGGTTTAATAAAAACAGTTTAACTGCTGAGCCCTTTATGTCCCTGCCAGACTAGCGTGTTGCACTCGCTAATGCTTCACAATGTATTACTTTGTAGGCTAAAGCCTTGAAATAATACGCTTATAATATAGCCTAATTCATTCATTAGGCTCCCTGTCTGGCTCCTGACCTATTAAGAGTGTTTATATTCTGTTTAATACGACATGTAGCCTATTTGAAATGATGAGCGCTTCTTACAGTCACCTTTTAATGTTGTTTATTAAAATACTTTAAATTAAAATCATATGGTTTGGTTTCAACACTTCATAACCAAATGGTAGGTCCAGGTAGTCACAAAAATAGATGGCTGTTGGTTAAATTGTGATTTTAATGAATGGAGCGAATTTGGAGCGGCAGTTTTTTTCTTTGAGCGAGGAGCGGTTTGGAAAGGACTGGAGCGAGATTTCTGACCGCTCAACTCGGCTCACATACTCCGATCAGAACCAGAGAGCGAGAGCGGAGTGGAGCTGCCTGAGGGCCAGACTGTGTGAGTACCTGGGAAAGCCAGAGAGAGAGCAGAGTGGAGCTGCCTGAGGGCCTGGTTGAGCTGGAACAGTTTGGCCGCAGTGTTCGTCACTCTGTGCAGCTGTGACAGATCAGGGTCCTCACCGCTCCTCTCCAAGCCTTCATCCTTCTCCTACACACACACACACACACACACACACACACACACACACACACACACACACACACACACACACACACACACACACACACACACACACACACACACACACACACACACACACACACACACACACACACACACACACACACACACACACACACACACACACACACACACACACACACACACACACACACACACACACACACACACACACACGTTACAGTTGATGTCATTGGAATATGGTGCCTTTCCAAGGGGATTACTTTATTGTCCATTTAGGACAAAATTCATTTTATCAAGCCAACATACAAATGCACAAAAAACAGGCTTTTTCTGTCATTGGTCGGGCTGCCCAAGTCAAACATCAGGATGGAAAAACACTTTCAGTGTAAACTTAAATGACTAAAACTAGATATATGCATGTATGTAGAATTTTTTGGGAGAACTAACAAAATCACCAAGATAAAAGCCATACAGTCAAGGAGAATTTAAATGGAAAATTCCCAAAACAATGAATTTAGCAGTATTCATGTTTATTATGTTTGGCAAAATGCATAGAACTGGAGAAAACTAGGTTTAAAACTGCAACATTTTCTCTCAGCTCCATGGTGTAATTTGTAGAATTGCAGGAAATTGGCTTAAAATAAAAAATAAAAAAATAAAAAATATCTACACTTTGAAGATGGGGGCCTCTGATTTTGTTAATTTTTCTAATAGCCGCACCAACGGGGCCGACCGTGCTCCTAAGACTATTTTCGATCCCAAAAAAAACCCTGTACTATAATACATTCAATATGGAAAACAATGGAAAGACGATAATGAATTAACCCATTTCCTCGGACAAACCTGTTAAAGCCCTTCCTCTATACACTACAGTGGTGCAGAAACATTTGATTCCAATCAAATATAGTCTCACCGCAATGGTGCAAAGAAAACAAAACGTGACAATTTCAACACGTGTTTCACGGTCATGAAAACAAACGAACTAAACCATGGCTCTACCCATCTCTGGAAGAGGCCCACGGAGATTCAACATCTGTCTGGTTTTGTCCGTCCCACCCCTTTTGTTTGACAACAATGGGGGCGGGGTGGGAAGGACTCCATCTAGCGCAGCCGATGATCAACGCCACCAAAGGCGATGGTTTGTGCGCAGCAGATAACGGCAAACAAGCGCATTAAAAAGGTGACTGGATGGCACTTCATTCAACACATCCATTACCTGAACGATTGGCCCAACGATTGGCCTAGGCTGCAGCGATAAGGCTGCCGATAGGATTGGGCTGGCTGTGGGAGGGGCTATTAATCTGAAGCGTTTAACCACGTGTCAAGGAGGGACTGACAGGCTGGTTGGGTTTGTGATGGTTGCTCAGTGCTCACCGTCATTTGGCAGTGGATGTAGCTCTGGAGAGCGCAGGCCAGGTCTAGCATCTTCGACTTGAGGCTCTGCAAAACCTGCCACAAACACAAGATACATAGAACATAGATACAAAACAGAGGCATTCTGAAGAAACAATCCGGAATATATCATTGCAATATTATCTCCTATGCAAGTCATTCTTGCCATTCATGGCATTAAAATTATTATTTTTTACAATACATTTAAATGATGACAAAATCTCAAATGATCCCTCTCAAAGTAGATCAACACAACTCCTATAGATAAGTCATACAGAGAACACTAAATGGTGGCTAGGTACCAGAGTCCTGGGGTAGGACAGCTGAGCATCTCTCAGCATCTCTTTGGAGATAGTCAGGCCCTCTTCCAGGAGAGAGTGCACCCCTTTACAGGTGCCCTCCAACAGAGACAGGACCACAGACCGCTGGGGAGAGAGAGACAACAACCTTTAACAAAAGGACCTTGAACAACCGACTAGGCCTATTGTGTTCATAGAGTCAGTAGGCCTCTGTCTCTTGAAAGCTTTTCTGGCCCGTTCTAGCCTCTACGAGCAATTTTTAGGGTGGTATCAGCGTGAAACCACGACCTTTGGGAGACCGCTTTCTTGACCCTCCACAAACCAACGTGGTAGAGCACCCAGGCAGCGATATAGAACTACATACGCTCACCGGACAGTTTATTAGGTACACCCGACTAGTTATTCAGGGCATTCTGCAAGGTGTCGGAAACGTTCCACAGGGACATATGTCCATGATGGCATCAGGCAGGTTGCTGCAGATTGGACGGTGGTACATTCATGCTGCGAACAGCCCGTTCCATCTCATCCTTAAAATGCTCTATTGGGTTGAGGTCTGGGGACTGCACAGGCCACTCAAGTAAACTGAACTCGCTGTCATGTTCCAGGCGTTTTTCCACTCCTCAATTATCCAGTGTTGTTCATCACGTGCCCACTGGAGACGCTTCTTCTTGTTTTAGCTGACAGGAATGGAACCCGGTGTGGTCGTCTGCTGCAATAGCCCATCCGTGACAAGGATCGACGAGTTCTGTTTTCCGAGGTGCCGTTCTGCACACCATTGTTGTACTGCGCCGTTATTTCTCTGTTTGTGGCCCGACTGTTAGCTCGACCTCTCATCAACGAGCTGTTTTCACCCACAGGACTGCCGCTGACTGGATGTTTTTTTGGTTGTCGCACCATTCACCCTAGACACTGTCATGAAAAGCCCAGGAGGCCGGCCGTTTCTGAGATACTGGATCTGGCGCAACAGCGATCATACCGCGCTCAAAGTCGCTTAGGTCACTCGTTTTGCCCATTCTAACGTTCAATCGAACAGTAGCTGAATGCCTCGATGGCTGCTTTATATAGCAAGCCACGTGACTCACTGTCTGTAGGAGCGATCCATTTTGGTGAACGAGGTGGTGTACCTAATAATCTGGCCAGTGAGTGTTATACAGAATTTCATTGCTTCGTTATTTCCTGCTATTCCCACCAAAACAGCACAGCCTTCACGCCCAGTATCTCTCCCCCCCCCCCCCCCCCAATTTCAATCATTATGAAAGGCAGCATACGGTGGGTGAGTGAGCGAGAGAGCGCGAGAGAGAATGAGAGAGTGAACGCGGGAGAGAGTGAGCGTGAGTGTAAGTGAGAGACCGGTGTGGTATCGAAGTGTTACCTTGCCCGTGGCCTCGGCGCACAGCTCTGTCACGTGTAGCTGGGTGCCTGTCAGCGCGGCCAGGTGGCTGATGACCTGCAGGGCCGTGTCCAGACACTGACTACTCTTCCTGTGGGCCTCGGTCACCATGGACGAGATCTCAGAGTCACAGCCCTAGGGACCACACGGGAAATGGACATTCAATAATTGGTTAATTAATTAAACCGTCTTTTTATTTGAATGTATTCTGAGTATTTGTGAATGTGAAGCCATAGTATAATTGAATGAATACATAAATAAACGTGAATTTTTTTTTTTTTGATGACTTAAATATGGTAGAGTGAAAGGAGGGGTGAAGGTTAAAAAAAAAATCTGTTTAGTGCTGGTACTGGATAGGAATATATATATTTGACTTCAGACTCAAGGTTGAGAATTCCCCTACGCTTGTAGATTTCCATACGAGCAGTCAAACAGCTCAAAGCTAAAACCTGTCAATCACGGATGTGAATTTTGAAGTGCCAGTAAGGTGAATGTTGTAAAGGTGTCAAACTGACTCAGCTGGAAAGGATTTTCCTTGTACTGCCTTTGAGTCTTTTCAGTTTAACTGGGACAAAAACCGAGCTCTTTCTAGATTTTCTTTACTGTAATTCACCATGAAATTATTTGCACTAAACCAGTCAACAATGCATATGTTGTACTGTACATCCCGGAGTCGCCTCTTCACATTTTACATTTACATTTTAGTCATTTAGCAGACGCTCTTATCCAGAGCAATTAGGGTTAAGTGCCTTGCTCAAGGGCACATCGACAGGTTTTTCACCTAGTCAGCTCGGGGATTAGAACCAGCGACCTTTCGGTTACTGGCACAACGCTCTTAATGACTAAGCTACCTGCCTACCTGCCGCCCTTCACTGTTGACGTTGAGACTGGTGTTTTGCGGGTACTATTTAATGAAGCTGCCAGTTGAGGACCTGTGAGGCGTCTGTTTCTCTAACTAGACACTAATGTATTTGTCCTCTTGCTCAGTTGTGCACTGGGGCCTCCCACTCCTCTTTCTATTCTGGTTAGAGCCAGTCTGCGCTGTTCTGTGAAGGGAGTAGTACACAGCGTTGTACGAGATCTTCAGTTTCTTGGCAATTTCTCGCATGGAATAGCCTTCATTTCTCAGAACAAGAATAGACTGACGAGTTTCAGAAGACAGTTCTTTGTTTCTGGCCATTTTGAGCCTGTAATCGAACCCACAACTGCTGATGCTTCAGATACTCAACTAGTCTCAAGAAGGCCAGTTTTATTGCTTCTTTAATCAGCACAACAGTTTTCAGCTGTGCTAACATAATTGCAAAAGGGTTTTCTAATGATCAATTAGCCTTTTAAAATGATCAACTTGGATTAGCAAACACAACGTGCCATTGGAACACAGGACTGATGGTTGCTGATAATGGGCCTCTGTACGCCTATGTAGATATTCAATTTTCTTTTTTTAAATCAGCCGTTTCCAGCTACAATAGCCATTTACAACATTAACAATGTCTACACTGTATTTCTGATCAATTTGATGTTATTTTAATGGACAAACAAAATATTTTTCTATCGAAAACAAGGACATTTCTAAGTGACCCAAAACTTTTTGAACGGTAGTGTAGGTGCGTATGAATGTTGTTGGTGCATAGCTCCATCTGTATGTTACACATTCACATCCAGCTGCTACTGTATTGAACAGTTTAAAGGCTCCGATGGGTGACAGTCCTTTGTCTATCGTTATTCAATATAAACTTTATCCAACCTATAGCTACAGTCGTATGTAAAAGTTTGGGCACCCCTCTGAGGCTGCATAATAATTGACTCTGTCATCACAGAAAATGGTCACAGTGGCATGCCATTCATTTTCTAATAAAAGCTGAGTCCTGGGGTATTGTCCAGACAAAGATTTTTAGTGTAGCAATATTAAGTTGTATGAAATTAAATCAGATGTGAAAAATAGGCTATGCAAAAATGTGGGCACCCTTGTCATTCTGTTGATTTGAATACCTGTAACTACTTAGCACTGATTAATTGGAACACACAATTGGTTTGGTGAGCTCATTAAGCCTTGAACTTCATAGACAAGTGCATCCAATCATGAGAAAAGGTATTTAAGGTGGCCAACTGCAAGTTGTTGTTCTCTTTGACTCTCCTCTGAAGAGTGGCAACATGGGGGCCTCAAAACAACTCTCAAATGACCTGAAAACAAAGATTGTTCAACATTATGGTTTAGGGGAAGGCTACACAAAGCTATCACAGAGATGTAAGCTGTCAGTGTCCACTGTGAGGAACATAGTGAGGAAATGGAAGACCACAGGCACAGTTCGTGTTAAGGCCAGAAGTGGCAGGCCAAGTAAAACATCGGAGAGGCAAAAGGCAAAGGATGGTGAGAACGGTCAAAAACAGCCCACAGACCACCTCCAAAAGACCTACAACATCATCTTGCCACAGATGGTGTCACTGTGCATCGTTCAACAATTCAGCGCACTTTGCACAAGGAGAAGCTGTACGGGAGAGTGACGCGGAAGAAGCCTTTTCTGCACACACGCCACAAACAGAGTCGCTTGAGGTATGCTAACGCACATTTGGACAAGCCAGCTTCATTTTGGAATAAGGTGCAGTGGACTGATGAAAAAAATATTTAGTTATTTGGTCATAACAAGGGGCGTTATGCATGGCGGCAAAAGAACACAGCGTTCCAAGAAAAACACTTGCTACCCACAGTAAAATTTGGTGGGGGTTCCATCATGCTGTGGGGCTGTGTGGCCAGTGCCGGTACTGGGAATCTTGTTGAAGTTCAGGGTCGCATGGATTCCACTCAATATCAGCAGATTCTTGGGAATAATGTTGAAGAATCAGTCACAAAGTTGAAGTTACGCCGGGGCTGGATATTTCAACAAGACAACGACCCAAAACACTGCTCAAAATCTACCCGGGCATTTATGCAGAGGAACAAGTACAATGTTCTGGAGAATCTGTGGGATGATTTGAAGCGGGCTGTCCATGCTCGGCAACCATCAAACCTAACTGAAGTGGAGATGTTTTGTAAGGAGGAATGGTCCAAAATACCTTCATCCAGACACTCATTAGAGGCTATAGGAAATGTCTAGAGGCTGTTATTCTAGCAAAAGGAGGCTCTACTGGTAGAGCTCAGCTGGTAGAGCACGGCGCTTGTAACGCCAAGGTAGTGGGTTCGATCCCCGGGACCACCCATACACAAAAAAAAAAAATGTATGCACGCATGACTGTAAGTCGCTTTGGATAAAAGCGTCTGCTAAATGGCATATTATTATTATAATTTTTCTGTTGGGGTGCCCAAATTTATGCACCTGTCTAATTTCGTTTTGATGCATATTGCACGTTTTCTGTTAATCCAATAAACCTAATTTCACTACTAAAATATTACTGTGTCCATCAGTTATTTGATAGATCAAAATGAAATTGCTGATCCAAACACCCAATTATTTATAAATGGAAATCATGGAAATTGTCAGGGGTGCCCAAACGTTTTCATACGACTGTATTTGTCCAGGATAGTTTCACAGTCTCTATTTCAAGAGTACATTGTCAGTAGCTTTACAAAGAATCAAAACACATACATTTAAAAACTACAAAAATGTAACAAGGATGTTTACCTGGATGAGAAGCTGAAAGTAACCACCCATTCTCTTGACTTGGGTCTTGAGCTCCTCTGCATTAGTGTGGAACGTTCCGGTTCTGGGCTTGACCCTGGCCACCCACTGCATGGTGATGAACACAGCTCTCTGGATGGCTGACGTGGCCTTCACAAGCTGGCCCTGGGCCTTAGCCTCAAACACAAACACTGGAACAGACAGAATAAATTAAAAACGTACATTTAGTATTTCAAATATGTTATGTTGGGCAGGGAGCAAAAGCAGAATCAGTGCCTTCAGAAAGTATTCAAAATTGATTAAATAGATGTTTTTTCCCCTCTCACCCATCTACACACAATACCTCATCATGACAAAGTGAAAACATGTTTTTAGAAACGTTTGAACACTTGAGAATGAAATACATACATATCTAATTTGCATAAGTTCACACACACACACCTTTGCTATGACACTCCAAATTGAGCTCAGGTGCATCCAATTTCCTTTTATCATCCTTGAGATGTCACTACAACTTGGAGTCCACCTGTGGCCAATTCAATTGTTTGGACATGATTTAGAAAGAAACACACCTGTCTATACAAGGTCCCACAGTTGACAGTGCATGTCAGAGCAGAAACCATACCATGAAGTTCAAGGAACTGACCATAGATCTCCTAGAAACAATTTCTAGAGTGTTGAAAGTTTCCAAGAGCACAGTGGTCTCCATAATTAGGAAATGGAAAAATATGAAACTACCCAGACTCTGACTAGAGCTGGCCGTCCGACCAAACTGGGCAACAAGGACCTTGGTCAGGGAGGTGACCAAGAACCCAATGACCACTCTGATAGTTCCTTGGCTGAGATGGGATAATCTGCCAGAAGGACAACAGTCTCTACAGCACTTCACCAATCTGGACTTTATGGGAGAGTGGCCAGACAGAAGCCACTCCTGAGAAAAAGGCACGACAGCACGTGAAAGACTCGGAGCATAAAAGGCAAAATATTCTGTGGTCTGATGAGACAAAACATTTACTCTTTGGCCTGAATGCAAAGCACTACGTCTGGAGAAAACCAGGCAGAGCTCGTCACCCGTCTAACAACGTCCCTACCGTGAAGCATGGAAGCTTTTCAGCAGCAGAGACTGGGAGACTGGTAAGGATAGAGGTAACAATGAATGGAACCAAATACAGGCAATTCCTTGATACGAACTTGCTTCAGAGTGCAAACTACCTTAGACTGGGGCGAAGATTTATGTTCCAACAGGACAATGACCGCAACCATACGGCCAAAGCAACGCTGGAATGGCTTCAGAAGAAGAATTTGAAAGTTTGAGTGGCCCAGCCAACGCCCAGACATGAATCCCATTGAAAATCTGTGGAAAGACTTGAAGATTGCTGTTCATCCCCACTCCCCATCTAACTTAACAGAGCTTGATAAAAGTACAACACTGCAACAGGGCTTCACATAGTAGTAGTAATGGAAAACATTGTCCGCAGTAGAATTGTTTCAAGAATGTGAATTCTTCAAGAAAACACCCACAGCATATTGTTGCTCATTGTCTGAAGTATCAGGAGGACAACATATAGGCCTGACTTATTATTTCTGGAGAGTCATGAACGGACAAAGACTTCACTATACTGTAGGTGTACAGCAGTGCCTTCAGAAAGTATTCCACCCTTTTGACTTTTTACACATTGTTGTTTACGAAGTGGGATAAAATGGATTGAATGGTCATTTTGTCAACAATTTATAAAAAAAAAATCCTAATGTCAGTGGAATAAATATTATAAATGTTTTTAAATGAATGAAAAATAAAACTAATATATCTTGATTAGATAAGTATAAACCACCTGAGTCAATACATGTTAGAATCACATTTGGCAGCGATTACAGCTGTGAGTCTTTTTGGGGTAAATCTTTGCGCTTTGCACACCTGGATTGTACAATATTTGCTATAATTATTTTGTACAAACTTTTCAAGCTCTGTCAAGATGATTGTTGATCATTGCTAGACAGACATTTTCAAGTCTTGCCATAGATTTAAAGAAGAGTCCTTATCGATGACAAGCATACCGATAACGTGATGCAGCCACCACCATTACATTAACATTTTAGTAATTTAGCAGACGCTCTTATCCAGAGCGACTTACAGTTAGTGAGTGCATACATTTTCATACTTTTTTCATACTGGCCACCATGCTTGAAAATATGAAGAGTATTCAGCTTTGTATTCAGGGCATAAAATTAATATCTTTGCCACATTTTTTGCAGTATTACTTTAGTGCCTTGTTGCAAACAAGATGCATGTTTTGGAATATTTTTATTCTGTACAGGCTTCCTTCTTTTCACTCTGTCATTTAGGTTAGTATTATGGAGTAACTACAATGTTGTTGATCCATCCTCAGCTTTCCCCTATCACAGTCATTAAACTGTAAATATTTTTCACCATAGGCCTCATGGTGAAATCCCGGAGCGGTTTCCTTCCTCTCCGGCAACTGAGTTAGGAAGGACGCCTGTATTCTTTATAGTGACTGGGTGTATTGATACATCATCCAAAGTGTAATTAATAACTTCACCATGCTCAAAGGGATATTCAATGTCTGCTTTTTTTTTTTTTTTTTACCCATCTACCAATCGGTGCCTCTGAGGCATTGGAAAACCACCCTGGTGGAACCTGTGCATTAAATTCACTACTCGACTGAGGGACCTTACAGATTATTGTATGAGCGGGGTACAGCGATGGAGGGGGTGGGGTATGGTTTTCTACTAAGCTAACATATGGAATTGTTTTAAGATGGTCATACCAAGGATCATTTAGCTATTTAATTTTGAATTTTAGGACCCCTTTAGTTATTATTTGATGAAACATTGAATTTGTTTTTTCTGCAATTAGCCTATAGGAATGCATTAAATTACAGATTTATACATGGGAAACATAATTTTTTACAAAAACGATTTAACCTCTTTTTGGCACTAAACTACCTCCATATACACAGCGTACAAAACATTAAGAACACCTTCCTAATATTGAGTTGCAACCCCCTTTTGCCCTCAGAACAGCCTCAATTCGTCGGGGCATGGACTCTACAAGGTGTCGAAAGTGTTCCAAAGGGATGCTGGCCCATGTTGAAACCAATGCTTCCCACAGTTGTGTCAAGTTGGCTGGATGTCCTTTGGGTGGTGGACCATTCTTGATACACACAGAAAACTGTTGAGCGTGAAAAACCCAGCAGCATTGCAGTTCTTGACTCAAACCAGCGCGCCTGGCACCTACTACCATACCCCGTTCAAAGGCACATAAATCTTTTGTCTTGCCCATTCACCCTCTGAATGGCACACATACACAATCCATGTCTCCTTCTTTAACCTCTCACCTCCCTTTCATCTACACTGATTGAAGTGGATTTAACAAGTGACATCAATAAGGGATCATAGCTTTCACCTGGTCAGTCTATGTCACTCAGTATATACACTTCACTTCATCTTTTTAAACTAGTACCTAGAGCAAAACAACCGACATGTACGTGTTGATGAGAGTCTCACCTTTCCATAGAGGGGTCATATTAGTTTGTAGGCAAACCGTTTGGACCCTACAGATGTTTTAATGAGAAGACTGATTTTCAGGATGTCTCATGGTCTGACAAACACAGCTGTAGCTCCGCCACCTGCCACCGCAGATGCGGAAGGCCGTCATTGGCAGATACAGTGGATTGAGACGCAGCACATGCAAAAAAAAAAAAACTGATCTCTAGCGTAAACAAAAATGTAATGGTATTATTTGAATCGTGAAATAACGTCAAACGCCCATCCCTAGTCGCGAGAGGGTCATTTTGAGATGCAGACTTACTGTTCTCCTGACTGTCATCATCCAGGCCGTTATACAGGTCGGAGATGGTCGTCACGGCCATGTACACACAGTAGAGGTCAGAGGTCAGCCTGTCTGCCATGCTCTCCTCGTGGCTATGACACTGGCGCAGCTGGCCCACCGTCTGACCAATCAGATCTTTGCAGATCCCCGGCAGGGCAGAGTCTGACGAGCTGGGGTGCAGAGAGGGTGGTTTGGCCACACCCATCAGACCTGGAACAAAGACGGACAAGTTGGGCAAAATCGTTAGGTGAAATATAACAGAATCTCCATCTCTCTATTTCTAACACCTAACGGTATACCGTCCTATATGTGGTAGTCTGGTAAAAAATAATGACTAAAAGTCCTTCACTCAGACACACACTTACCAGAGGACTGTGAGAAGTTGCTGTTATGAAGGCCCTGAATAGGGTGCACTCTGATTTCATAGAGACGCCCTGAAATCCTGCTGCTCTTCAACAGGCTTCTGCTCCTACAGGGAACAAACAAAACAACACATCTTGGAATGGATCCCAACGTTCTAAAGCATTGTTGTGTCATCAGCAACAAATTCATGTGTGACAGGCACCACGCATCAGCTACCTTTCATTCAACTGTCCTATCTTTTCAGAGCAGAGGGGACACACACACACACAGAGACAGAGAGACACAGAGAGATTCATTTGGATTCCTCTCCGTCAGCACCAGGCCCATAACCATGGCCGACGCATGACATTTTAAACTGAGGAGGTGGGGGAAGAAATGAGGGAAATATCGATTGTGCGGTTATTTCACATTGAGGTGAATAAAGATGACACACTGAACTTCCAGGGCGTGCCAAGTAGTCAATAAAACTGTGGAAATATCAATACTAGTGCTTAAAAAAATTATCAAAAAAATGCATTCCACATGATTTTCCATATTCGATCTCGAGTGAGCTCAAAATCATTTCCACATTCATCATATTCGACTTCGTTCCGACTTCTGACAAATTTTTGTGCAGGGGTTGGAGGTCAATCAAGGAGGATAGAGTCACTGAAAAGAGGAGAGACTAGGCCTGTGTCCCCAAACAGCACCCTCAACAGTAGTGCACTATGTAGGGAATTTAGGAGACAAACTAGAAATGACCTTCTGCGTGAAAAGGAGGCGGCTGTTGAGGAGGCAGATATATCTTGTTCCCACTCATCATTGGGATCGTAAAACACGTCGTCATCTTTAGAGGTGATGCGGTCCCCCTGGGGAAGGAGAAGAAATTAAATTAACCCCAGTCTCATTTATTCAGCTTTAATGAGAAACGCCAGGAACGGACGACGCCCCACTTTTATGCATAAACAAGCGTTTTGTAAATTAGGAGAGCACCGGCAAACTCCACAGAGGGCTGACGTACTGTTCTTCTTGCTGCGAACGTGAAATGGACAGGGTCGGAGAACGCAGTCTAAATCAATCTGGTAGCGGTATGTTAACTACCAACTACATTAACCAGCTGTCCAAATGGCTTCATAAACACATGATTACTGTAACTAAGCAACATCATTGAGATAGCAGGCATTCACATTTCAATAAACACACCAAACACAGCTCTAAAGTCAGATGGACAACACATGTATTAGTGATATGGAACAACGACCGTTACTGCCCTGGTCGACTTCCCTCATGGCGGGCCAGGTTGTTACTGCCCTGGTCGACTTCCCTCATGGCGGGCCAGGTTGTTACTGACCTGGTCGACTTCCCTCATGGTGGGCCAGGTTGTTACTGACCTGGTCGACTTCCCTCATGGCGGCCAGGTTGTTACTGCCCTGGTCGACTTCCCTCATGGCGGGCCAGGTTGTTACTGACCTGGTCGACTTCCCTCATGGCGGGCCAGGTTGTTACTGACCTGGTCGACTTCCCTCATGGTGGGCCAGGTTGTTACTGACCTGGTCGACTTCCCTCATGGTGGGCCAGGTTGTTACTGACCTGGTCGACTTCCCTCATGGCGGGCCAGGTTGTTACTGCCCTGGTCGACTTCCCTCATGGCGGGCCAGGTTGTTACTGACCTGGTCGACTTCCCTCATGGCGGGCCAGGTTGTTACTGACCTGGTCGACTTCCCTCATGGCGGCCAGGTTGTTACTGCCCTGGTCGACTTCCCTCATGGCGGCCAGGTTGTTACTGACCTGGTCGACTTCCCTCATGGCGGGCCAGGTTGTTACTGACCTGGTCGACTTCCCTCATGGCGGGCCAGGTTGTTACTGCCCTGGTCGACTTCCCTCATGGCGGGCCAGGTTGTTACTGACCTGGTCGACTTCCCTCATGGTGGGCCAGGTTGTTACTGACCTGGTCGACTTCCCTCATGGCGGGCCAGGTTGTTACTGCCCTGGTCGACTTCCCTCATGGCGGGCCAGGTTGTTACTGACCTGGTCGACTTCCCTCATGGCGGGCCAGGTTGTTACTGACCTGGTCGACTTCCCTCATGGCGGCCAGGTTGTTACTGCCCTGGTCGACTTCCCTCATGGCGGGCCAGGTTGTTACTGACCTGGTCGACTTCCCTCATGGCGGCCAGGTTGTTACTGCCCTGGTCGACTTCCCTCATGGCGGCCAGGTTGTTACTGACCTGGTCGACTTCCCTCATGGCGGGCCAGGTTGTTACTGACCTGGTCGACTTCCCTCATGGCGGGCCAGGTTGTTACTGACCTGGTCGACTTCCCTCATGGCGGGCCAGGTTGTTACTGCCCTGGTCGACTTCCCTCATGGTGGGCCAGGTTGTTACTGACCTGGTCGACTTCCCTCATGGCGGGCCAGGTTGTTACTGCCCTGGTCGACTTCCCTCATGGCGGCCAGGTTGTTACTGACCTGGTCGACTTCCCTCATGGTGGGCCAGGTTGTTACTGACCTGGTCGACTTCCCTCATGGCGGCCAGGTTGCTCTGGAACTTCTCCAGGCTCCAGAAGGTGGAGATGCCCAGTATGGTATTTTGGACCTGGACCTGCAGCTCTCCCTCTCCGCCCTTCTTCTCAGACCCCTCGTGTCTAAAAACAGAGGGAACCAGGTTAAGCTATGAAGAGGAAGTAAGCCAAGATAAGGGAAGAGATATTGAGTGAGAATTCCTCCTAGATCTTGCTGTAGATCCATCTCAATATATGGCAAAACGAAAGTATTTCATATCCAACGGGATGTAAAGATGAAGACATACCTTCTGAAAACGGTGTCCTTCTTGAGTTTGCCACTGATCTTGTTGGCCTCCTCGATCATCAGAGACAACTTCATGGCATCCCACTGAGGAGGGACTGAGAAAACAGACAGGTCACCAGAACTGTAACTAGCTACAACACCAAACCCATGTTGTGATGCAATGGAAAGATTAATCTTATCACAACACAATGTTACCTCAATGACCTCGTACCCCAGCACACCGACTCTGTACTGGTTCCCCACTGTACATAGCCAAGTTATTGTTACTCATTGTGTATCTATTATACTGAACAAAAATATAAACCCAACATGTAAAGTGTTGGTCGCATGTTTCATGAGCTGAAATAAAAGATCAGACATTTTCCAGGCGCACAAAAAGCTTATTTCTCTCAATTTGTGCGCACAAATATGTTTACATCCCCTGTTAGTGAGCATTTCTCCTTTGCCAAGATAATCCATCCACCTGACAGGTGTGGCATATGAAGAAGCTGATTAAACAGCATGATCATTACACAGGTGCACCTTGTGCTGAGGACAATAAAAGGCCACTAAAATGTGCAGTTTTGACACACAACAATGCCACACGTCTCAAGTTTTGAGGGAGTATGCAATTGTCATGCCGATTGCAGGAATGTCCACCAGAGCTGTTGGCAGAGAATGTAATGTTCATTTCTCTACCATAAGCCGCCGCCGTCGTTTTAGAGAATTTGGCAGTGCATCCAACCGGCCTCACAACCGCAGACCACGCTGGAAAGGGCCAGGTAAGTAAGCATTTCACTGCTAGTCCACACCGGCTGTTTACGAACCATGTGAGGAATAAAATGTGATTTGTTAGCTACCACAATAAGTTAAGCCTCTCCTATTATTGTAATAACATCTAATCTCTGATTCATACACTTCACACCTGATTCGTATTCGTTAGTGCACGCTGTCGCAACGGAAAACACTTTGCAACAAAAACGGGTTTCTTATTGGACAAGTTCAGGTAGTCCCTCCTCATTTCTGACCGTTTTCTCGTGAATACGACCCAGAAGATGAAAATCCCCCAAAAATGGTTTACCGTTTTTCGGAGTCCGGCTTCCTTTCAGTGCCAGTTTCCTCTGCATCTCCTCGAGGTCTTTGCCGATCTTCCTCTTCTCTGCCTCGAGGGCCTCCACCACCTTGGCCTGCCGGACACCGTGGTCGGCCATGGCCTGCCGTGTGGCCTGGGCCTCCATGTGGAGGCGGAGGCGTGTCTTGTGCGTGTCCACCTCTTGCTGCAGCTCCACCTTGGCCGACTGCAGCTCCTCCATCTTGGAGGCTACCTGCTGCTGGTCCATGTCCCGACGCCGCTTCCTCTCGCTCTCCTCCTCCTGGGGGAAGGAGAGTGAAATAACTCAAATGTAGTGGACGTCACGCCAAAATATTACACCGAATGAGTATGCAGGACAAGTAGGCTACACATCATTAATCAGACTTTGGTCAAATACATACAGGGTTTGAGACTGTGACCAAAGCACTCGCATTTGCGACCCTTTGACTTGGCAGTGTGACACCAATTTTTTTATTAGTTGGTCACGTTAGTTTTTGGTTCACCATTTTTTTTTTATTATCATGATTTATTCAAACAGCAATGGGTATTCCAAAGTCTTGGTTGAATCTTTGCAATGCACAATTCAGTCATCATTTGCTGTTTGAATGAACATTTCTTCAGGCTTTCCCCCTAAAACGTCCCTATTATATGTTGACTGCCAAGTAAACCTACCTGGCAGAATGATATCATGATATCATTTGTGTAAATCGCAGGGCATTTGTTTTGCAAACTCTGCCATTACATTTAGTCTACACTCTACATTGTACAGTACAAAAACACTGCTAGCCAAACAATGGTATCTTGCTGTGCTAAATTGAATTAAAGGATAACTACACCCTCCCAAAATGTGGGGGGAATTTTCCCAGAATTCAAAAGTGGTCTCCTGATTTGGTTTAAGCATTGTTGTGGACTTGGATGTTCTAATGTTTGTAGTTTTTCCATGAACAAGTCCGATTTTGAGAGTGAAATCCTGAAAAAAAAACTTTTAAAACGTTGAAACCTAAAACAAACTAAACCGGGAAAACCGAATTTACCAAAATATAAAACTGATTTTATAGGGCTGTAAACTGTAGACCGACTGTTCAAAATCGCTAACAATAGCACCCTTTTATTTTTGAGATTGCGCAAAGTTTTTTTTTTTTTCTTCCCTCAAAACAATAAATGTAAATATGACATTGTAACGTTAAAGGGTAATTATTTGTGTATGAGGGTAGCTCATTATAGGCTACTTGCTCAGCCCGCAAATTAAAGATAACATTTTAAATGATGCGCACATCATCCGCCAGTTCATTTTATTCGGGCCAGTAGCTTTCAGTTGGCACTGGCCTGTTTTGCCACTGGCAAATCATGCCAGTCATTATTAGCCTGGTTGTGTATGGAATGCCGGTACATTAAGGGACACAGGTCAGGTCATTCTCTCCAAGCGGCAGCGAAAAATTGGTGCAACCAAACCACGTGCTTGTGCCATCAACTGAAAAAAAGTTAGCAGAAAACATTAGTCTACAACACTGACATATATGCTATACTTTTAATATTTTTGCGATACGATACTGATTTAGCTAGTCATTATACAATACAGTAACCTTTACATTACACCGTAACACCAGATGACTCCCTTTACAGACAGTGAAGACACTATTGTACAGTAAACAAGGTCTGGTGTGAACATGGAGTCAGCGGCCTAGATTTGTCAGTGTTTTCGTTCACACATTATTCCTTCATGTCAGTAAAGCCGTAGTTGACGTGCCAGTTCTCTCTCCAGGGCTTTGATCCTGTTCTCATAACGAGCCTTCTGGTCCGACAACTCCTTCTGGGCCATCTCTTTGGCCACCTGGATGCCCCGCATCATCTCCTCTTTGGCCTTCAGACGGGCCTCCTCGATCTCCGCTTCCAGTCTAGATAGAAACAAAATGGACGTCTAGTTGCATTAACAAGTTTCAGAATGAGTGGCGTTTTTTTTCTCAGTATCACACATTATTAAATGTGAGCATCCACATATCTTTCCACAGAATACAAATCGGACTCTGAGTTAATCACATTTCTGAATCTTGTGATCAACTCACTGTGCTCTTTGAGCGGAGAGCAGCTCGTTTTTGGCAAACTCAAAGTCCTTCTGGCCATCGCCCGCGCCCGTCCAGCATGACGCACGTTTCCCAGACTGCACCTCTGCCGGGTGGTTGAAGCGGAAGTAGTGGTCTCCGCCCAGGATCACCCTGTCGCCCTGGAAACCCCCCCAAAACATGAGTGATTCATGATTGAGCTCACAGTCAGGTTTCTAATATTGTGTTTTTGTATTATTCATCCCATGTTTACACACAATACGTACATGATGCAGGACTGTGGTGTCAGAGACCAGGTTCCCGTTGACGAAGGTCTTGGCGTTTTCCATGGGGGTGACGCGGACTTCGCCGTTTACATTGGAAACGACACTGAAAAGGAAAATGTTCATAACAAAACTGAAACATGCAAGAATGACAAAAGAACACTGGTATTAGGAGTGTTTCCCGTAAACAAGCCAGGACATAGCCAGGACTCATTAGAAGGCTAAACGAGGCTATGGTGCTTGGCCTCTAAAACCAGAGTGGCGGTGGGTCAGTCCTCCTTACCAGTGGCGGTCGGCGATAAGGGCCCCAGACAGCTGGATGTCGTGGGCGGACTCCGACTTGTGCTGGCCGACCTTGGTCTGTCCCTCCTTAATCATGTACAACAGCATCTCCGACAGCTGCGGGTCCTCGTTCAGGTTCACAAGATTGGGCAGTCGGTTGTCCACCGCAAACGTGACGCCCGCTCTCTGATGGGGAGAAGAGGGGGAAGCAGATGAATATAGGAAGGGGAATGATTTTCTGAAAAGCAGATGAATATAGGAAGGGAAATGATTTTCTGAAAAGCAGATGAATATAGGAAGGGAAATGATTTTCTGAAAAGCAGATGAATATAGGAAGGGAAATGATTTTCTGAAATCTGCCAAAGGAATGTGGAAGGTGGGTTGATACAGTAGAGTGAAACAGTGATTATGAAGCTAAAGTTCATTTTTAGTTAGGTTAGAAGCTGACCGGTAATTCTTTGGTTTCCTCGTGTTTGCGTTTCTCCGCCTGCTCCAGCTTCTCTCTCCATGCTCTGACAAGAGGTAAAGGAATCAAATTCAAGTTGAACCAAAACAGTTTGTCATGTTTGCTACATAGCTCACAGAGCCTCTCTGGGACAAGTGCCAAAGATGCAGGCTTTGTGGTGGTCACCTGTGGGCCTCGGCCATCTCTCTCTCCTGCTGCGTTAGCTGGCTCTTCAGAGCCACGATCTCCTGCTGGAAGAGGAGCATTTTCTCTGGCTTGATGCCCTGGGAGCTCATCTGTGCCGCCCGTAACTTCTCTACCTCAGCTTTCAGCTCTAGTAACAAAAGACCCACACAAATGACAGTTTGTTAAATTGCTGCTAAAACAGAAAAGTTAGGGGCCATTTTGTATGAGCTTTTGTTACATCACATGTATGACTGTCAAACAGCAACCTACCCTTTGATACCAGTGGAAGCTGGAGGGAGGAGCTATAGGAGGACGTGCTCATTGTAATGACTGAAATAAATGCAACGGAGTCAAACATGGTTTCCATATGTTTGATAGTTCCATTTATTCCATTCCAGCAATTACAACGAGCCCGTCCTCCTATAGTGCCTCCCACCAGCCTCCTCTGTTTAATACACATAATATGGTGCTAAACCACAAAAGGTAGATGGTCTCAATCTCTGCACTGTTTCCCCTTCCCATGTCAAATAAAGCCTTTGCAAGAGCTCCCCCTAGTGCCAAAAACCAGGAAATATGGCGTAGCAATCTCCTTTGAATAATACCTTCATGACAGTTGAGAAACCCTGGCTTGATGTGACAGTGCATAAATATGGCCCGAAGGCAAGGTTAGAGGTTGAATTGATTGAACCTGGTGATGGATGGATGAGAAAAAGATAAGGAGAAAGAGAGATTGGTTGATGGAGGGCGAGGGAGGTTGGGCTGACCTCTGATGAGTCTGGCGTTGGTGTCCTCGTTGACCTTGGCCACATTGATGATCATGCGGGCCTGCTTGGCGTACCGCAGCGTGCTCAGGCTCTCCTCCACGTTGCTGCCCGCCGGGCTCAGCGTGGCGATCATGGCCGTCTTGGAGTTCCCGCCCAGGCTCTCCTTCAGCAGCCTGGACACGGGGCGACACAAATGGTATTCGGACAAGGGGAGACACAAAAAGGTATCCCGCTAAGCTCTCGACAAAAGGACTTACTTCGCAAAACTCTTACTTCACAAACGTCTCTCGCAATGTTATTTCAAACCTAGCTTTATAGAGAAAGTTGAAAGACGATCCGATATAAAGAGGATGTTTAACAAAAACTGTTCCTAAAAAAACCATTATGTGGGGCGGTGCCTTTCCCAGTCCCCCCCATCTATACAATACTGTAGAACACGCTAACTCAACTCACAACACTTCAATTGTCTGTCTGCTTCGTTAACATCTCATCTTCATTACTAACACTGGGGGACAGCGGTCAGTGGAAAAACAAGCCCTGTGAGCCTTTTCTAAAAGCCACAAAATAGGATTGACTGAAGAAAAAAAAAAACTGTTCATACAATTTTCAACTTAAACATTTCAAAATAAAGGCTGAACTCCAACAGGCAAAGAAAAAGGTTCAAACCATTTCTGGGTAAAAAAATAACTACCATACTGTGATTGTTTTCAATTCAAATGGTCAAAAAGAAACAGAAATAGCTTCTTTCTTAGCAAAGAGCAATTTCTCAAGCAAGAATTTTGCTAGGACTGTCTGAGTGGGAAAACGGAAAACTATCTATTATTGGCAGAGAGGCTTGGAACGCTTTGTGTGGATAGATATATACACTACCAGTCAAAAGTTTGGACAGACCTACTCATTCCAGGGTTTTTCTTTATTTTTACATTGTAAAATAATAGTGAAGACATCAAAACTATGAAATAACACATATGGAATCATGTAGTAACCAAAAAATGTTAAACAAATCAAAATATATTTTATATTTGAGATTCTTCAAAGTAGCCACCCTTTGCCTTGATGACAGCTTTGCACACTCTTGGCATTCTCTCAACCTGATTCATGAGGTAGTCACCTGGAATGCATTTCAATTAACAGATGTGCCTTCTTAAAAGTTAATTTATGGAATTTATTTCCTTCTTAATGCGTTTGAGCCAATCAGTTGTGTTGTGACAAGGTAGGGGTGGTATACAGAAGATAGCCCTATTTGGTAAAAGACCAAGTCCATATTATGGCAAGAACAGCTCAAATAAGAAAAGAGAAACGACAGTCCATCATTACTTTAAGACATGAAGGTCAGTCAATACGGAAAATTTCAAGAACTTTGAAAGTTTCTTCAAGTGCAGTCGCAAAAACCATCAAGGACTATGATGAAACTGGCTCTCATGAGGACCGCCACATGAAAGGAAGACCCAGAGTTATCTCTGCTGCAGAGGATAAGTTCATTAGAGTTACCAGCCTCAGAAATTGAAGCCAAAATAAGTGCTTCACATAGTTCTGGTGTGGGGGTGTTTTGCTGGTGACACTGTCTGTGATTTATTTAGAATTCAAGGCACACTTAACCAGCATGGCTACCACAGCATTCTGCAGTGATACACCATCCCATCTGGTTTGGGCTTAGTGAGACTATCATTTGTTTTTCAACAGGACAATGACCCAACACACCTCCAGGCTGTGTAAGGGCTATCTGACCAAGAAGGAGAGTGATAGAGTGCTGCATCAAATGCCCTGGCCTCCACAATCCCCCGACCTCAACCCAATTGAGATGGTTTGGGATGAGTCGGACGGCAGAGTGAAGGAAAAGCAGCCAACAAGTGCTCAGCATATGTGGGAACTCCTTCAAGACTGTTGGAAAAGCATTCCAGGTTAAGCTGGTTGAGAGAATGCCAAGAGTGTGCAAAGCTGTCATCAAGGCAAAAGGTGGCTATTTGAAGAATCTCAAATATATTTTGATTTGTTTAACACTTTTTTGGTTACTACATGATTCCATATGTGTTATTTCATAGTTTTGATGTCTTCACTATTATTCCACAATGTAGAAAATAGTAAAAAAAAATCAGAAAAACCCTTGAATGAGTAGGTGTGTCCAAACGTTTGACTGGTACTGTATATACATAAAAACACGGGGGGGGGGGGAAATCACATTTTTAACTGCATCTTTCACTCACCATGTGAGCACAGCCTCCCTGTAGGGGGTGAAGACCTTCCTCCTAGTCCGGGCCTGCTCTGACAGGGCAGAAATCACCTTCCCCAGGCTCAGCAGGGACTTGTTGATGCTGGCACACTCCTGGGATACAGACGGAGAAATAGTATACGGTTAGGCTGCATGGATTTGATAGAGATAACAGGGTATCTCCATTTTGAATGGTTCTGAACGTAGGACATATAATAGTGGGAACTTGGTGTGCAGCAGTTGAAAAATACATGCTGTCTGGGACTAAGTTAATACCTGTCAACGTAGTGAGATAAATACAAATGTTAGGTGAAGAATTATGTGGAAGTGGAGCAGTGGTCTAAGGCACTGCATCGCAGTGCTAACTGTGCCACTAGAGATCCTGGTTCGAATACAGGCTCTGTCGCAGCCGGCCGCGACCGGGAGACTCATGGGCGGCGCACAATTGGCCCAGCGTCGTCCAGGGTAGGGGAGGGAATGGCCGGCAGGGATGTAGCTCAGTTGATAGAGCATGGCGTTTGCAACGCCAGGGTTGTGGGTTCGATTCCCACGGGGGGCCAGTATAAAAAAATATGTATTCACTAACTGTAAGTCGCTCTGGATAAGAGCGTCTGCTAAATGACTAAAATGTAAATGACAACGGTGTGTACTCGGTCACATCTCTACCAGCAATAACCATAGCATTTAGCACTTGGAGTTTTAATCAGACGAGATTGTTCTGAGGTCCACAGACAGTGGCCTTGTCCGAATACCTGTACTTGCGTTTTAAATAGTAGGCTGAGTCGGTATGCGCAGAGTGTTTTATAGTAAGTGAAATTTAGACAATTGTAGTATGTTAAAATGCCAGGATGTCATACTCATTTTCAATCAATCAATCAATTTTATTTTATATAGCCCTTCTTACATCAGCTAATATCTCGAAGTGCTGTACAGAAACCCAGCCTAAAACCCCAAACAGCTAGTAATGCAGGTGTAGAAGCACGGTGGCTAGGAAAAACTCCCTAGAAAGGCGAAAACCTAGGAAGAAACCTAGAGAGGAACCAGGCTATGAGGGGTGGCCAGTCCTCTTCTGGCTGTGCCGGGTGAAGATTATAACAGAACCATGCCAAGATGTTCAAAAATGTTCATAAGTGACAAGCATGGTCAAATAATAATCAGGAATAAATCTCAGTTGGCTTTTCAAAGCCGATCATTAAGAGTTGAAAACAGCAGGTCTGGGACAGGTAGGGGTTCCATAACCGCAGGCAGAACAGTTGAAACTGGAATAGCAGCAAGGCCAGGCGGACTGGGGACAGCAAGGAGTCACCACGGCCGGTAGTCCCGACGTATGGTCCTAGGGCTCAGGTCTCTCAGTTGGCTTTTCATAGCCGATCATTAAGAGTTGAAAACAGCAGGTCTGGGACAGGTAGGGGTTTCGTAACCGCAGGCAGAACAGTTGAAACTGGAATAGCAGCAAGGCCAGGCGGACTGGGGACAGCAAGGTGTCATCATGCCCGGTAGTCCTGACGTATGGTCCTAGGGCTCAGGTTCTCAGAGAGAAAGAGAGAACGAGAGAATTAGAGAGAGCATACTTAAATTCACACAGGACACTGGATAAGACAGGAGAAGTACTCCAGGTATAACCAACTAACCCCAGCCCCCCGACACATAAACTACTGCAGCATAAATACTGGAGGCTGAGACAGGAGCGGTCCGGAGACACTGTGGCCCCATCCGAAGAAACCCCCGGACAGGGCCAAACAGGAAGGATATAACCCCACCCACTCTGCCAAAGCACAGCCCCCGCACCACTAGAGGGATATCCTCAACCACCAACTTACAATCCTGAGACAAGGCCGAGTATAGCCCACAGAGGTCTCCACCACAGCACAAACCAAGGGGGGGCGCCAACCCAGACAGGAAGATCACGTCAGTAACTCAACCCACTCAAGTGACGCACCCCTCCCAGGGACGGCATGAAAGAGCACCAGCAAGCCAGTGACTCAGCCCCTGCAACAGGGTTAGAGGCAGAGAACCCCAGTGGAGAGGGGAACCGGCCTGGCAGAGACAGCAAGGGCTGTTCGTTGCTCCAGAGCCTTTCCGTTCACCTTCACACTCCTGGGCCAGACTACACTCAATCATATGACCTACTGAAGAGATAAGTCTTCAGTAAAGACTTAAAGGTTGAGACCGAGTCTGCGTCTCTCACATGGGTAGGCAGACTGTTCCATAAAAATGGAGATCTATAGGAGAAAGCCCTGCCTCCCGCTGTTTGCTTAGAAATTCTAGGGACAATTAGGAGGCCTGCGTCTTGTGACCGTAGCGTACGTATTGGTATGTACGGCAGGACCAACTCGGAAAGATAGGTAGGAGCAAGCCCATGTAACGCTTTATAGGTTAACAGTAAAACCTTGAAATCAGCCCTTGCCTTAACAGGAAGCCAGTGTAGGGAAGCTAGCACTGGAGTATTATGATCAAATTTCTTGGTTCTAGTCAGGATTCTAGCAGCCGTATTTAGCACTAACTGAAGTTTATTTAGTGCTTTATCCGGGTAGCCAGAAAGTAGAGCATTGCAGTAGTCTAACCTAGAAGTAACAAATGCATGGATTAATTTTTCTGCATCATTTTTGGACAGAAAATTTCTGATTTTTGCAATGTTACGTAGATGGAAAAAAGCTGTCCTTGAAACAGTCTTGATATGTTCGTCAAAAGAGAGATCAGGGTCAAGAGTAACGCCGAGGTCCTTCACAGTTTTATTTGAGACGACTTTACAACCATCAAGATGAATTGTCAGATTTAACAGAAGATCTCTTTGTTTCTTGGGACCTAGAACAAGCATCTCTGTTTTGTCCGAGTTTAAAAGTAGAAAGTTTTCAGCCATCCACTTCCTTATGTCTGAAACACAGGCTTCTAGCGAGGGCAATTTTGGGGCTTCACCATGTTTCATTGAAATGTACAGCTGTGTGTCATCCGCATAGCAGTGAAAGTTAACATTATGTTTTCGAATAACATCCCCAAGAGGTAAAATATATAGTGAAAACAATAGTGGTCCTAAAACGGAACCTTGAGGAACACCGAAATGTACAGTTGATTTGTCGGAGGACAGACCATTCACAGAGACAAACTGATATCTTTCCGACAGGTAAGATCTAAACCAGGCCAGAACTTGTCCGTGTAGACCAATTTGGGTTTCCAGTCTCTCCAAAAGAATGTGGTGATCGATGGTGTCAAAGGCAGCACTAAGGTCTAGTAGCACGAGGACAGATGCAGAGCCTCGGTCTGACGCCATTAAAAGGTCATTTACCACCTTCACAAGTGCAGTCTCAGTGCTATGATGGGGTCTAAAACCAGACTGAAGCATTTCGTATACATTGTTTGTCTTCAGAAAGGCAGTGAGTTGCTGCGCAACAGCTTTTTCTAAAATTTTTGAGAGGAATGGAAGATTCGATATAGGCCGATAGTTTTTTATATTTTCCGGGTCAAGGTTTGGCTTTTTCAAGAGAGGCTTTATCACTGCCACTTTTAGTGAGTTTGGTACACATCCGGTGGATAGAGAGCTGTTTATTATGTTCAACATAGGAGGGCCAAGCACAGGAAGCAGCTCCTTCAGCAGTTTAGTAGGAATAGGATCCAGTATGCAGCTTGAAGGTTTAGAGGCCATGATTATTTTCATCATTGTGTCAAGAGATATAGTACTAAAACACTTAAGTGTCTCTCCCGATCCCAGGCCCTCGCAGAGCTGTGCAGATCCAGGACAGCTAAGCCCTGGAGGAATACGCAGATTCAAAGAGGAGTCCGTAATTTGCTTTCTAATGGTCATGATCTTTTCCTCAAAGAAGTTCATGAATTTATTACTGCTGAAGTGAAAGCCATCCTCTCTTGGGGAATGCTGCTTTTTAGTTAGCTTTGCAACAGTATCAAAAATAAATTTTGGATTATTCTTATTTTCCTCGATTAAGTTGGAAAAGTAGGATGATCGAGCAGCAGTGAGGGCTCTTCGGTACTGCACGGTACTGTCTTTCCAAGCTAGTCGGAAGACTTCCAGTTTGGTGTGGCGCCATTTCCGTTCCAATTTCCTGGAAGCTTGCTTCAAAGCTCGGGTATTTTCTGTATACCAGGGAGCTAGTTTCTTATGACAAATGTTTTTCGTTTTTAGGGGTGCAACTGCATCTAGGGTATTGCGCAAGGTTAAATTGAGTTCCTCAGTTAAGTGGTTAACTGATTTTTGTCCTCTGACGTCCTTGGGTAGGCAGAAGGAGTCTGGAAGGGCATCAAGGAATTTTTGTGTTGTCTGAGAATTTATAGCACGACTTTTGATGCTCCTTGGTTGGGGTCTGAGCAGATTATTTGTTGCGATTGCAAACGTAATAAAATGGTGGTCCGATAGTCCAGGATTTTGTGGAAAAACATTAAGATCTACAACATTTATTCCATGGGACAAAACTAGGTCCAGAGTATGACTGTGGCAGTGAGTAGGTCCAGAGACATGTTGGACAAAACCCACTGAGTCGATGATGGCTCCGAAAGACTTTTGGAGTGGGTCTGTGGACTTCTCCATGTGAATATTAAAATCACCAAAAATTAGAATATGATCTGCTATGACTACAAGGTCTGATAGGAATTCAGGAAACTCAGAGAGGAACGCTGTATATGGCCCAGGAGGCCTGTAAACAGTAGCTATAAAAAGTGATTGAGTAGGCTGCATAGATTTCATGACTAGAAGCTCAAAAGATGAAAACGCCATTTTTTTTTTTGTAAATTGAAATTTGCTATCGTAAATGTTAGCAACACCTCCGCCTTTGCGGGATGCACGGGGAATATGGTCACTAGTGTAACCAGGAGGTGAGGCCTCATTTAACACAGCAAATTCATCAGGCTTAAGCCATGTTTCAGTCAGGCCAATCACATCAAGATTATGATCAGTGATTAGTTCATTGACTATGACTGCCTTTGAAGTGAGGGATCTAACATTAAGTAACCCTATTTTGAGATGTGAGGTATCACGATCTCTTTCAATAATGGCAGGAATGGAGGAGGTCTTTATCCTAATAAGATTGCTAGGGTGAACACCGCCATGTTTAGTTTTGCCCAACCTAGGTCGAGGCACAGACACAGTCTCAATGGGTATGGCTGAGCTGACTACACTGACTATGCTATTGGCAGACTCCACTAAGCTGGCAGGTTGGCTAACAGCCTGCTGCCTGGCCTGCACCCTATTTCACTGTGGGGCTAGAGGAGTTAGAGCCCTATCTATGTTGGTAGATAAGAGGAGAGCACCCCTCCAGCTAGGATGGAGTCCGTCACTCCTCAGCAGGTCAGGCTTGGTCCTGTTTGTGGGTGAGTCCCAGAAAGAGGGCCAATTATCCACAAATGTTATCTTTTGGGAGGGGCAGAAAACAGTTTTCAACCAGCGATTGAGTGCTGAGACTCTGCTGTAGAGCTCGTCACTTCCCCTAACTGGGAGGGGGCCAGAGACAATTACTCGATGCCGACACATCTTTCTAGCTGATTTACACGCTGAAGCTATGTTGCACTTGGTGACCTCTGACTGTTTCATCCTAACATCGTTGGTGCCGACGTGGATAACAATATCTCTATACTCTCTACACTCGCCAGTTTTAGCTTTAGCCAGCACCATCTTTAGATTAGCCTTAACGTCGGTAGCCCTGCCCCCTGGTAAACAGTGTATGATCGCTGGGTGATTCGTTTTAAGTCTAATACTGCGGGTAATGGAGTCGCCAATGACTAGGGTTTTCAATTTGTCAGAGCTAATGGTGGGAGCCTTCGGCGTCTCAGACCCCGTAACGGGAGGAGTAGAGACAAGAGAAGACTCAGACTCAGACTCCGACCCGCTACATAATGGGGAAAACCGGTTGAAGGTTTCTGTCGGCTGAATGAGCGACACCGGTTGAGCATTCCAACAGTATTTCCCTCCAGAAGCCATGAGAAAGTTGTCCGACTGCGGGGACTGTGCGGGGGGATTTATACTAACGTTACTGTCTGTACTTACTGGTGGCACAGACGCTGTTTCTTCCTTTCCTACACTGAAATTACCCTTGCCTAACGATTGCGTCTGAAGCTGGGCTTGTAGCACAGCTATTCTCGCCGTAAGGCGATCGTTCTCCTGTATATTATGAGTACAGCGACTGCAATTAGAAGACATCATGTTAATGTTACTACTTAGCTTCGGCTGTTGAAGATGTTGACGAACCATGTCCAGATAAAGCGTCCGGAGTGAACAAGTTGAATAAGGGAAAAAAGTTGCGATGGAAAAAAGAAAAATAAAGTAAAGTTGGCAGCTAAAACGCACAGGAAAATGACTCTTCTGTCTCGGGATAAAACGTCCGGGGTGAAAAAGTTTAACGAAAAAAGATGAGTGAGGACAAAACTAAAAAGTTGGTAAATTTGTTGAACACAGAGATTGATTAAACGTTTATTAAAAGTAAAACGTGAATAGTTTGGCAGGTAGCCAAGTAGCAACAAACAGCACAGCAGCACGGAGACAATGCGGAAGCGAGACGGAAGTCACGTAGTGTATCGAGTCAAAGACTCTTCATTTACATTTTAGTCATTTAGCAGACGCTCTTATCCAGAGCGACTTACAGTTAGTGAGTGCATACATTATTTTATTTATTTTCATCATCTAGTACAATTGGCTGCACACTATTGAGGAACAAATGGCGGGAAACAACAATTCCGCATAGGAAGACGCATTCTCATTACGGGTAAACCTAGTATGTTGATATTGGTTGCTTTCAGCATACAGTCTGTTCTAAATGGTATGTAGTATGATTAGTACACAGTACGTCCTTTCAGTAAGTAGTAGGCAAGACAGATTTGGGACACGACCACAGTGTCTATAAACATTGAAAATGTGGATGACTAAAACAGCAAGGTGCTTACCCTGAGGCGGTCTCCGCTGGTCGGGGCTGAGGAGCAACGCTCGCTGCCGGCCAAGTCCACCAGGTTGATCCTGCTGGTGATCCTGTGGTCATGTTCTTCCCCCTCAACAAACTCCGTCTACACACACACACACACACACACACACACAGAGAGAGACACACGGTCACACACACACACAAATTAAGCGTGTGTACTCAAACAGAAAAAGAAATGCACAGACTTAAATGAAATGCATGCAAACAGAACCATGCCAGATGCTCCAAATAGGTTTAAGTCAAGCAGATTGCAGAGATGCACTGGACAGTGACGCTAACATAAAGACACACAAAGACAAAGGGCAGGGAGGTTGACCTTGGTCTGGGTCATAACCAGGGTGAAGACAGAATGGGATCGGGAGCTCTTGTCGTTCATGCCTGTGGCTGCAGTGGCTCGCTGCTTGTTCCCAAGCTCCAGCCAACCCTGGAAACAGAGGGGAAGAGTGTGAATTCACAACATACTGACGTCGTCGCTTTACTAAATGTCCAAAAGTGGTAAGAGTTAGCTAGAAATCAGTGTTCAGAAAGCACCTTACCTGAATGTCCTCATAGGAGCTCACCACGTTCCTGAAGCAAACAGACAGTCAGAGTGAATCCTTAAGACTAGCAATCCATCATTACACCTGACTAGATATTAATGGAAAGGTTTGCTCACGTGGAAAGCTCAGCAACGTAAGGCCCGTCGACTGGATGTTCCCTCACTCTCAGCTAGAAACACAGAGCATTGTCATTATTAACATCATTTAGTAGAATGTAAGTAAAAAATAGCTTTGAAAATCGGCACAGAACACATTAATTCATAAACCCATTTGATTAAAATGTCATAGGTTTTGTTCCTACGGGGTATCTTTAGGCAGTTTGTCCTACTCACAGGCAACCTCTTGCCTACGGGGTATCTTTAGGCAGTTTGTCCTACTCACAGGCAACCTCTTGTGGTTTTGTTCATCCCTGACGACGAGCAAGTCATGGATTTTCTCGTTGTACACCTCGAAGTAGCTCATCCCCAGATGACATGTGACCTGTTATACAACAGCCAAATTGTTGTGAGCCTTTGAGTGAGTAAGATTTCGAATGTATTCATTACACATGGCAAATAAACTAAAAAACTAATGCTTTACATGACAACTGGTCAGAATCAACAATATGTACATCTTGGTATGAATTAAAAATAAACACCTCCTGATTTTCAACTGCAGACAGCCGAGAAAAGAGCTCCTCGCAGAATCTTGGCGTTACCCCCGCCTCCTCCCCGAAACCCATCATACTGCAGAAGGATAGAACAACATAATTGTACACATTTGGATGCAACAGTTTACTTACTAACTTCACAAAGGAGAATCATGAGAACAACACAAAATCAGCTAGTGTGTGTGTGTGTGTATGAGAGAGAGAGAGTGAAGAGAAAAGAGAGAGTGAGAAAAATAACTTACGTGTAGGACTTCCCCGACCCAGTTTGGCCGTAAGCAAACAGGCAGGTGTTGAACCCCTCAAAGGCCCTCTCCAGAAGAGGCTTGGCCAGTTTTTCATACACCGTCTGCTGGCTGGCAAAGCCAGGGTCGCTTTTATCAACAGAGCAGAAGGAGAAGTCATATGTGAAGGAGTGCCTCTGCTTGGTGTCTGGATGGTGTACAACAGTCTCCTGGTTATCCATGAAGATCACCTGCGATGCTTTCTCAGTCTTCTCCCTGAAAGGCAAATATTGTGTCATTTTTTTGACATCCCTGATTAGTTAGGCCTAATAGATAAAGAAGCAAATTAGTATGGAGATGTGGACTCAGTTAAAAGTTAAGAGGGAGCAATATTTATCCCAAACAATAGATATTTAGTTAGAGCTGGATGAATGCGATTTCAATGAACAATCAATTAAATCAAACAGATACATAAATAATGTTTTACCTGGTGTTGAATGGCCTCACTCGGACCGCAACTGTCACAGCACTGTTCTCCATCTTCAGGTTATCCGGTTTGGATCGGACCAAAGGCTCGGTCTTGACAGCGGTTGCTGGTGCAGGGGTAGAGGACCTCGCCACGCATACATCGCCATGGATTGAGTTCTTTCTCACCTGCGCTGGCGAAAATTTCGAGGCCACGTTTGCTCCTTGACTACTGAGCGGAAACTTGTTAGAATGGTGAGTTGAACCAGGCTTTGCAGCCTCCACAGTCACCTGTAAGTGCGTATTTGGCCTCTCTAGGCTTGCCGTTTTTACAGCCACCACTTTTGGGACCTTTTTCCCAGCCAACCTCTCAAAGGCATCCTTCTTTGCCTTGATTTTCTCGAATGGAGTCTTTCTCGTGGGTGTTGAAAAAGTTTTGGTCTGGTCCTCTGGTTTTGTCACGTCTACTTTACCCGGGGTTGCTGGCTGTTTTGGCACAAATCTAGATGGAAACCTTTCAACTCCTTTAGCTGGGGTGTTTAAAAGGTTAACTGCTTCTCTTGATTTACTTTTAGATGAGGTGTCCCTAAGACTAAATGACCGCAATACACCTGCACTTCCTGGCGTTCGGGGGTTTGATTCAGAGAGAACTTTAGACTGATTAGAGTCGGTACCGCTGACCCAGCGTTGTCTCGATCCCTCTGCTTTGCTGATGTCATTACTTGCGCTTTTGTCAATTGAACCTGTTCTGGTTCGGCGTTGCAACGTCAGTGTTTTCTCAGATACAGGTGTGCTGTTCGGAGTGATTTCCATAGTGTTTTCACTCATCGTTTTGTCGCCGTTAGCAGCCGTTTTCCTCCTCTGAAGGGCGAGTCGTCCCCGAGCGGGCGTGCCATTCGTCTGGCCTCTGCTTTTTGACAGGCCAGAGATAACATAGGTCGTGTTTAGCTCCTTGGTTTTATCCAAAGATCTCGTATCGTCACCTTTCATATTTTCTCGCGCAACTTCCTCAACGCTTATCTTTGACGCTTTTCGGTCTTTCGTGTCAGGGTCCCTTGGTGTCAAGAAATTGTCATCAAAAGCTGTGTGCTTTTTCTTTGGTATCGAGTATAAAGACATGGTACTGATTTTTTTTTAAATTATATCGTTAGAAAATAAATATAAATCTTTCGTTAATTACAAAAGAAAAGCTGTTATTCCAATGTTTCCAACGTTATCCGTAGTCAAGTCTATTAAATTACACATCTTCCCCTGCAAAAAGTTGAAAGTTAACGTCAGCTTTATTTAGAACTGAATAATTCGGACATGTAATGAAACCGTAGCTAGCTAACCAACTCAACAATGTATGCACTTGGATGTTTAGTTCGTTGGCGACGTTAACTTAGCTACGTTGGCTACCTGCTAGCTAGCTAAATTAGCTGTCTAAAAAACACATTACAAAGCTGATAATGATAATCGGATCAGTTTACTTCTTAAAAGTTAATATAATTCGGACATTTAATTATATTTGCCAGCTACCTACTCCTCAAAACAGCAAAGATTCAACTCAGTTTTTTGTGGGTTTGTTTACCATTTCAGTCTTGGTTGACTTCTCTTCCGCCCCGCGTCGATTTCAAACTCCTATCAGCGATCTGCTATTGGCTAGACAGATAATTACGTCACCGTCCACAGCAAAAAATCCAAAACATGCCAAACCTGTGTTTGACAGGCAGATGGCAGTATTTCCTAAATTCACATCTTTATAAAACCGTAAAATCGAAATTACAACTCAATCATGTTCATAAAATTTTATTCAAAATTGACAAATTACTCAGATATACACACAAACACAAAGTAGCATAATAACAAGTGCATCTGTCTATCTCTTTGAGCTCCTGTTGTGTTTCCGGATGATGTCGAGGAGGTTGGTCTTGGTGACCATGACATCATCCTCCCCTCTTTGCTTGGCTTTCTGTTTGTCCCTCCTCTGCTGCTCATGGAGGTGGGGGGAGTTGAGAAGCTGGGGGGGCAGCTGGGAACCTGTGGGCTTCACCCGGTTCACCACCTCCAGGAACAGACGCTTGTTGTCGTTGTTGACAAACGTGATGGCTGTGCCCCGGTGGCCCAGTCTGCCTGCTCTGCCCACCTGGGAGGAAGGAGTGTAAAAGTCACCCCAGAATGAGTGGCAAATCCCCCCCACCCCCCCCACCTTCATCCAATTGTACACAATACTAAACAGAAAATATTATTTGCCAGATGCTCCCGCCAAGATGCAAGATGGTATTGTCACAGACAAAAGCACATCAGATTTTCCCATGCACAACAATAGCAAATTTACCCACCTGATGAACATACTCATCCATGTTGGATGGCATGTCAAAGTTGACCACCAATTTGACGTTGACCAGGTCGAGCCCTCTGCCCAGTACGCCAGTGCTGACCACCACTTCAAAGTCCCCTTCAAGTAGACCCTGAGGAGGGGGTATGAAACAGCTTAACGGTATAATACTCTTTATGGAAGTAAACTGCCTTTGCCTAGCTTTTCTGTTTGAGCCATAATAGCCAGACCTGGGCCCGTATTCATAAAGCATCTCGGAGTAGGAGCACTGTTCTAAGATCCATGTCATCTTATTCATTATGATCTTTAGAAGGCTAAACTGATCCTAGTGCAGCGGTAACCAAATTTTTCTGAGTCGAGAACACCGAGTCAAAATGCAGGCCGAGATCTACCGCTCCGATTTCTTTTTAAACATGACTTAAACTTACGCAACATTAACCTATTAAAAACAGTTATATGGCAATGAGGTTTGTGCAGTAGGTCGGAGTGAGCATAAATTGAAATAATGTGCTTTCTTTATGTTACTGGACTGATGGTTCCTGCACCTGATGGTCAGTCTCAACGAAGGGAGAGGATCAATGGGTCCTCCTCTCACCGTCAGACCTAGTGTGTATGGTACAATACTGTCCAGTAGCCAGGGAAACCCTTTGAACATTCCACTGAATACACCTTGAGGGTCCTACGCAAATGACAACATTTCTTAATAATAATAATAATATGCCATTTAGCAGACGCTTTTATCCAAAGCGACTTACAGTCATGCGTGCATACATTTTTTTGTGTATGGGTGGTCCCGGGGATCGAACCCACTACCTTGGCGTTACAAGCGCCGTGCTCTACCAGCTGAGCTACAGAGGACCACCATTTCTTAATGTTTTGAATCTGTAAATGAAAAATGAGTGTTTCTTATTGGACAAGTCCTGGCACTCCTTCTCTGTTACAGTCTGTCATCTTCCGTTTGGTGCGAATGAATGAAACCTGGCTGCCACAGGCCTTACCTTGAGGATGCGGTTGCGTTCCCACTGGGTCTTGTCTGAGTGCATGGCCACCGTGTTGAGGCCCATGATCTTCTTCACGGCCTCACACAGTAGGTCCGCCCCAAGCTTACAGTCCACAAACACCACCACCGGAGGCTGGTACAGCTTTCCGTCCTGGGTGGGCAAAAACAAAAGACAGGTCAATCGTGACAGAAATACACTACAATGTCCAAAAGTATGTGGACGCCTGCTCGTCAAACATCTCATTCCAAATTCATGGGCATTAATATTGCTGCAGGGACTTGCTTCCATTCAGCCACAAGAGCATTAGTGAGGTCGGGCACTGATGTTGGGCGATCAGGCCTGGCTCGCAGTCTGCGTTCCAATTCAACCCAAAGGTTTTCGATGGGGCTGAGGTCAGGGCTGAGGTCAGGGCTTTGTCGAGTGCAGTCAAGTTCTTCCACACCGATAGACAAACTTGAGACATCTGTGGCGTTGTGTTGTGTGACAAAACTGCACATTTTAGAGTGGCCTTTTATTGTCCTCAGCACAAGGTGCACCTGTGTAATGATCATGCTGTAAAAAAAAATCTGCTTCTTGATACACCACAGCTGTCAGGTGGATGGATTATCTTGGCAAAGGAGGAATGATCAAATTTGTGCAAACCTTTAGAGAAATAAGCTTTTTGTGCGTATGGAACATTTCTGGGATCTTTTATTTCAGCTCATGAAACCAACACTTTACATGTTGCGTTTATATTTTTGTTCAGTGTAATAGAAAAAAACCCTCTGTATTAAAATTGTTGGAAAATAGACAGTGGGTTGCAGGTAAAATATAGGAGTACAAGTCAACATCCCCCTGGATGGTAACGTTGATCTATGCAGTAATGTCATTTCGCCAACGGGTCTGTGAAAGCACAGCCTCTTCCCGCTCCCTACCTTATATAGATGGTCTGAGCCGTTGCTCAGTTTCCTGGAGCGAAGCCATGGCTGAGGGCCCATCCATTTCCTCTGGAGAGGGGGGCAGGGCTGCAGCGACTGCTGTCTTAATATGGTCCAGTGGGAGACTAGTCTTCAGGAGCTACTGCAGGAATTCCCATTTGACAGAGCTAAAGAGATTCTCCATAATTTTGTATAATTTTTAGCCAGTAGTTCTGAAAGTAGCACTCACAAGCTAAAAGTGTTCCCAGAAAATTGCGTACAACATCATGTGCTGTGTTGGAATCTTGCTAGCTGTCACTCAAATGCAGAGGGACTGAAGCTCATTGGCTAGAACTTGAATTGCTAGGGGGCTGGCCCACGTGGGGGGGGAAATGTAGGAGCACAGCTTCCAGAAAAACAGTCGCTTTCAAACTAGGGATTTTGTGGCTAATTGAGGTAAGACAGTACTTCTGCTGATACATTATGCATGTATGAACTACACATTGACACATCCAGCCCAAAGCGGGAGGTTTAAAAAAATACTTAGTAGTCGCCAAAGTTTCAGAGCATGTTTTTAATAACACTATACAGAAAATGCCAGTAATTAAGTTATTCATTAAGTAATTCAAATTCCCAAATGAACATTAAATGTAATTTACACCAGGGTCGTGTTCATGAGGCCACGCAACGGAGAACATTTTAAATAATTTTACAACAGAAAACAAAAACAAGTGTTTCTTATTGGACCCTCCCTGTTTCAGTCGGTTTTCTTCCGTTTGCTGCCTAATGAACACAACCCAGTACACTGAAGAAAAACAATTGAAAATCACCTACATTTAAAATCTCAAAGAGCTTCTTCTTCTTGGAGGGCTCCTCCACCCAGAGCACTATCTGGCGGATGTTGGCGCAGGGCTGGTTCTTGTCCCCGATGGCGATACGGACCGGGTCATGGGTCAGTCGGGCCGCCAGCTGCTCTGTGCCCTTAGGGATGGTGGCGGACGTTAGCAGGGTCTGGTGCTCCTCCGGGATGTTCTCCAGAACCTCCAGGACCTGCTGCTGAAAGCCCATCTTCAGCATGGTGTCCGCCTGCACTCCAAATACAAGAGTTAATCAGTCTAAATAAGGTTGATAAGAGGATAAACGATTTTGTCTTCCGCTGAACAATGTCGAAATAGTATTACTGGTACACAGGATGGGGGTGTGCCTTTTGCCAACTCTGGCACATTTACATCGATGTGAACACTGAAATGTTGATTAATGTGCACTGTCCCTGTCAAACAAAAGGGCAGGTGCCTTTTTTATTATTTCAAAATGCCTGCATAACAGTGTTCTTAATTGAAATGCTATGAGGAGGAGGCATATTTACCTCATCAACCACCACAACCCTCACTCCATCCAGCTGCACTGCCTTCTGTTTTAGGATCTCCAGAAGTCGTCCTGGGGTAGCAATTATTATCTAGAAGGCAATTAAGAAGGCGATTATTATCTAGAAGGCAATTAAGGAGGCGATTATTATCTACAAGGCAATTAAGAAGGCAATTATTATCTAGAAGGCAATTAAGGGAAAAACAAATTAAAACTGTGGAGGGCCTTCATTGCAAGGTTATGGAAATGTAATATTGACATACTGTATAACAATGACTTAATATTGCCCAGTACTCTCTTTGAAACATTGACGTAAGATTGTACACTATTGTACAGCATCATGAGAAATGTTCAGGTAACGTTGTACCTTGATGGTGCTCTTGAGGCGGTGGAGCTGTGGGGGCAGGGGCATGCCTCCCACCAGCAGGGCAGTCCTCATGTTGGGTAGGCCTATCACCAGCTCCTTGGCCTGCCTCTCGATCTGGATGGCCAGCTCCCTGGTGGGGGTCAGGATGAGAGCCGCCGGACCCCCGGGACCACCCTCCACTAGCCTCTGGGGTGAAGAAAATATTTATAAACAAAATGAGCTTTTTGGTCTTAGGCATTCTGGTAACTTTCACACATTTTGCAGGTTTTCATTTCTGAAAAGGCTCCATAAGGGTAGGGGTATGGCTAAGGTTTTTAGATCACATTTTTGTGATAATCACACCATCAGGATGCCACAGTCTGCTTCTACCAGACCAATATATAGTTCATTGTATTACATCACTCAAAGCCACATAAAATGCTTATAGGTTAGGTCTACTTGTTTTGCCACATACAGCAGTATACATTCACTTAATGTTTCTTATGGCAAGTGGTAACTATACTTTGCACATAGATAGAATCGAGACAATATTATCATGTTTCTACTGTACAAAGATCCGGCTATTTGCATCCGTTTTTGAATGGCTGTAGACTTTCTCATGGGTATCTGCATAGTATAGCCTATCACTTGAAAGTGTAGCTAAGCTATAGAACATAAATAGGCCTGTGCTTATGAATTACTCATTGCTGTTGCTTCAAGGGGTCCCCAGTGAGGGAATGGATCAAATTGTGTTAACAGCTGTGCTGGATTTTCAAAGTTTATGCCTAGGTACTTATAGCTGAAATAGGTGCCAACAGTGAGGATGCAATACATCAAACTGTTTTAAGTGTTTGTTTTAGAGTCCTTTCTGAGAAACCTTGATGTGCCTTTTTTTGTTTCTCTTTTTGTTCAACTTTAAAGTTCCTCCTTTGTTGCTCAATATTGTGAAAAAAATAATTCCAGTATTTTTCACAACCATGACACCAAGGCTACCTCAAAGGTAAAAGAGTATCATGAGAGATACACTAAGGAGCTTTCAAACAACAACCGAGCCTAACAAAGCTGTACTGAGCTGGCCTAGGTAGGTATGTTCCACCGTAGTTGCTGGAACCGTGCTGAAAAGGTACAGTGAGGGAAAAAAGTATTTGATCCCCAGCTGATTTTGTACGTTTGCCCACTGACAAAGAAATGATCAATCTATAATGTTAATGGTAGGTTTATTTGAACAGTGAGAGACAGAATTACAACAACAAAAATCCAGAAAAATGCATGTCAAAAATGTTATAAATTGATTTGCATTTTAATGAGGGAAATAAGTATTTGACCCCCTCTCAATCAGAAAGATTTCTGGCTCCCAGGTGTCTTTAATAATAATAATAATAATAAGCCATTTAGCAGACGCTTTTATCCTAAGCGACTTACAGTCATGCGTGCATACATTTTGTGTATGGGTGGTCCCGGGGATCGAACCCACTACCTTGGCGTTACAAGCGCCGTGCTCTACCAGCTGAGCTACAGAGGACCAAGTACAGAGGACCAAGTAAAAGACAGGTGTCTTTTATACAGGTAACGAGCTGAGATTAGGAGCACACTCTTAAAGGGAGTGCTCCTAATCTCAGCTTGTTACCTGTGTAAAAGACACCTGTCTACAGAAGCAATCAATCAATCAGATTCCAAACTCTCCACCATGGCCAAGACCTCTCCAAGGATGTCAGGGACAAGATTGTAGACCTATACAAGGCTGGAATGGGCTACAAGACCATCGCCAAGCAGCTTGGTGAGAAGGTGACAACAGTTGGTGCGATTATTCGCAAATGGAAGAAACACAAAAGAACTGTCAATCTCCCTCGGCCTGGGGCTCCATGCAAGATCTCACCTTGTGGAGTTGCAATGATCATGAGAATGGTGAGGAATCAGCCCAGAACTACATGGGAGGATCTTGTCAATGATCTCAAGGCAGCTGGGACCATAGTCACCACAAAAACAATTGGTAACACACTATGCCGTGAAGGACTGAAATCCTACAGCGCCCGCAAGGTCCCCCTACTCAAGAAAGCACATATACAGGGCCGTCTGAAGTTTGCCAATGAACATCTGAATGATTCAGAGGAGAACTGGGTGAAAGTGTTGTGGTCAGATGAGACCAAAATTGAGCTCTTTGGCATCAACTCAACTCGCCGTGTTTGGAGGAGGAGGAATGCTGCCTATGACCCCAAGAACACCATCCCCACCGTCAAACATGGAGGTGGAAACATTATGCTTTGGGGGTGTTTTTCTGCTAAGGGGACAGGACAACTTCACTGCATCAAAGGGACGATGGACGGGGCCATGTACCGTCAAATCTTGGGTGAGAACCTCCTTCCCTCAGCCAGGGCATTGAAAATGAGTCGTGGATGGGTATTCCAGCATGACAATGACCCAAAACACACGGCCAAGGCAACAAAGGAGTGGCTCAAGAAGAAGCACATTAAGGTCCTGGAGTGGCCTAGCCAGTCTCCAGACCGTAATCCCATAGAAAATCTGTGGAGGGAGCTGAAGGTTCGAGTTGCCAAACGTCAGTCTTGAAACCTTAATGACTCGGAGAAGATCTGCAAAGAGGAGTGGAACAAAATCCCTCCTGAGATGTGTGCAAACCTGGTGGCCAACTACAAGAAATGTCTGACCTCTGTGATTGCCAACAAGGGTTTTGCCACCAAGTACTAAGTCATGTTTTGCAGAGGGGTCAAATACTTATTTCCCTCATTAAAATGCAAATCAATTTATAACATTTTTTACATGCATTTTTCTGAATTTATTTGTTGTTATTCTGTCTCTCACTGTTCAAATAAACCTACCATTAAAATTATAGACTGATCATGTCTTTGTCAGTGTGCAAACGTACAAAATCAGCAGGGGATCAAATACTTTTTTCCCCTCACTGTAAACATGAAAAGAACTTTCAGACCCAGCACTGTTCGGTTCTGTGTGATAATTCAGTGTGATAATACAGTCTGCCACAAAACTGTATTTCACTGTACCTCCAAAGCGCACACTACCACTGGCAGCAGAAAGGCCACCGTCTTCCCGGAACCTGTGTCAGCACTGGCAATCACGTCCCTGCCAGCCAAGCCAACGGGCACCATCTGCATCTGAACAGGGGTGGGCGCCTCATACCCTGCCTTCTTCAGGTTGGTACTGAGAGTCGGGGGAAGGTTACATTGCCCAAACTCTATGATGGGCCTGCCCACCTCCCTGCCCTCTGTCACAATGCCCAGCTCCTGCTTTACCCGCTGCACTTGCTCCTCTGTCAACCCAGAGATAAATGCATCTTCCTTGTAGGAATAGTCCTTGTATAAGTCCTCGACACTATTGCCAGCTCTGTCAACAGCTGGCTGTCCACATTGTGAAGTCCTCTTCTCCCCTGTGTCGTCACGGTTAAAGGCATCCTCCCCTGTGCCCATGCCCATTTTAGCCAGGTGACTGGCCTTGCACTCTAGGCTGCACACATCGTTGTCGGTGCTGTCGCAGATGTACTCCCCGAAGCGACTACACATGACACAGATGGGCTCCCCCGGTTCAGGCCATCTCTGGCTCTTTCTGAAGGATTTTACAGGCTCCTCTTCTTCTTCTTCTTCACTGTCCTCTGGGCTGGACTCTGAGGACTGTTGGTCCTCTGGTGCTCGTATAGGACTCCCTGTACCCTGTTCCAGGGTTGGAAGGTGTGTCTCCTGGTAGGCAGGCTTCACCTGTGTCTCAGCGTTCATGTTTGTCTCTTCACTCTCACAGGGAGCTGTAGAGGACGTCTGAAGGCTGGGGTTGGGGGGTTGTCCTGTGCCATCACTGCCTTCCTTCTCTCCCTCCTGGCTCAGCTTGCACTTCTTCTTAAGCACCTGACTTGTGTTGTCTGTTGGTCTCTTCACTTTCAGTGCTCTTGGCATAAACATGTTTCCAAATGATTATCCTTTAGAGCATGAATAGGTGTCACAGACTGTTACGAATACGATAGTCACGATGTCTAAAGTTAATCAAAGACTCTCTGTGATAATGCCACCTGCACAGAGGAGTGGGCATCAGCTAGCCAACGCTAGTAACTTCGGTCCTAGCCAGCTAGCGATACAAAACAACACAGGGTTTTGCCGCAATTACATTGCGATTGAAAGACCGAATCGACAAGCTACCCAACATGATATTAAGACGCAAGTAAACCCACAAAATGAATTATTAATCGCTGGTGAAAACCACAAGATATCGAAGTAAACACCCAAACTATAGCTAGCTAGCGAGCATAAAGCGTCTTGTCCAACGTCGACTCACTCAGAAAGCTGACTCATGTTGATGACGTCTTCAGTCAGTGAAGTGCATGCTGGGTAATGACGTTCAGGCCAAATATTCGGTCACGGCTAGATACAGTTTTTGTCAAATTAACACAAACCCCTTTCCTAACATTAACCTAATTCCTCTAACCTGCTGCGTAAATTCTCCTAACATTAACCTAATTCCTCTAACCTGCTGCGTAAATTCTCCTAACATTAACCTAATTCCTCTAACCTGCTGCGTAAATTCTCCTAACATTAACCTAATTCCTCTAACCTGCTGCGTAAATTCTCCTAACATTAACCTAATTCCTCTAACCTGCTGCGTAAATTCTCCTAACCTGCTACGAAAAGTCAAATCTGACAAAAGCTGTATTCCATCTAGACAAAACCCAAATATCCCCAAGGCAGTAAACCAGAAGGTTTCTGCATCTTTCTCTTCTTCTTTGGGATTTATGGCGAACTACACGCAAAAGGTGTATCGTTGCCACCAACTGAACGGGGTGTGCAAACATTTACTAAAGAAAAGTAAATTCCATACGGGGAAGGGAAAATGTACATTAATCCACGTAAACTAACTGTTTTTTGTATGGATTAGTATCTTTAAAAAATCTAATTTACAATCATGGCAGAAGCAAATTGACATGTTGACATAAAGCTGCACATCACATCAACATGATTTCAATGAATAAAGTTGAATTCAACTAATTGTATCAATGGTGATACATATTAGGACTACAAATCCACATACTAAAGGAATGAAGCATTATATATACTGTAAATATTTGCAACTGACAATACAAGGCTGACCCACCGCAAATTATTAAGCAAATTCATCTAGGTTGTATCTGCATTTTTGTCAAAATTGAGTTATTGACATAGCCTTGTTCTGTTCAATGTTCTTTACCTATATAGTACTCTAAATACCCCCAATTCATGTTGTTAAGTTCAAAAGAATACAAGATAAAAATTGCTGACCCCATTCAAATCAATGAGGGTTTGGAACTTTAAAGCCAATTATCTCATAAACATATTTTTGCAGATATAATAACCTGATTGTCCCAAACTCTCGATAGACTATTTTATTGGTTAAAGATAGAATGTTTATCTATCCAGGGGTGCATTCTACATATAAACAGACAGAACATAAGCATTTTATTCAAACAAATCAAGCTATGTATGCGATGCGTAGATTAGGTGCAATTCCTAGTAAAGGTATGCTGTCCTATTTTGTATGTGGTGCAGAAGTTGCTGGATGGAAAGCGCACGCGCAACAGTGAAGCTCTTTCATATCAACAGTGCGGCAGGAGAACCGCAACAAGCGAGGAAAAGCAGGTGAACCCGTTTGCGTTTGAAAACAAAGACTTGAATGGGAATGGGAATGTTTTTTCTCTCTATCTGAAGAAAATATGTGCCTTCCTCAGTGAGATTCTTCTGAAATAGGCTGACAGCTATTCGGTGAACCCCATTTCAACTGGGGCGTTTTCAATACGCCGATTCTGTTGCAAAACTTTTCTTAAACGTTTGCAAATGGAACCAAACGGGGAGGGACCTACCTGAATATGTCTAATAGAAACTCTCCGTTTGTTCTAATGATTACACCCCAGGTAGCAGCAGAATGGATGAAAAATACAGGGAGAGACGCTGATTCCACTATTCATATTGACTTAAAGGAGTAAGACAATACCATACCTATGGCTTGCAGTCAACCCTCCATGCCTCCTCCAACGAATTGTACATTTACATAGGCACTGAAGGCTGGCAAATCAAGTAACATTTGGTGTATTCAATTCCTTTGGTGGGATGTTATCGACTTCTATTGCTACATAGTCATCATTGGGTTGTCGACGGCTGTTGACACTTCATGGTGTTATGATGGGAGAAGTCACAGACGCCAGGGAAATTAAAAATACCTTCATTGTTCCCGCAATAAAGTCTTCTGATCATTATGATTTTTCTCGAGCAAAATTGCGCTGTAGCCTCACATGGCTGGTGGCCAAAGCATTTGGGACAGGTAGGTGGTGCTCTGTTATAAATGCATGGTTTAAACGTTTAGTTTGACAATAATTACATCTGTTTGTTTTGCAAACACATTTGTCAACAATGTGGCTATTTCCCTCTGCAATATTATCGCTCAGCTATACAAATAACAACACACACATCATTCAAGCTTGCAAGATATGCATTATTAAAGTGCAATTTATTTGTATGTAGTATTTATATAAATACATTTTAAACCACTTTAGATTCCCCAAGAGGAGAAGTATCCTTCCAAAACACACCGTTCCCAAATAGACCTTTTGCTAATTAAGAACAGTTGCATGATCAATTCCTATCTAGTTCAGTTCAGTGGCAGTGGGCTATAAACATGAGGGTGTGAAGTGAAGCAACGCCACACATTCTGGACGTATCCTGCTTGAGGGCTGTGACTCTGAGAATGACAGGCCCACTCCATAATGTCAGACCTTGATGGCTGGTGATGCCACCTTACATTCACTATCGCATGGTTATAGTTGTTACCATGGTTATCAGTAAGCCTTTCTATAGTAGGAAAATGTGACTCATATTATGTATAACCGAAAATGATATGTTTAGGTACTAGGGTTCACATTGGTGGCTATATCTACAGTAGACTTACGTATTACAGTATTAGCCTCAAATGTGACTCTATCACCATAGTAACAAATAGCAGAGTAGGGATAGTCATGTTTGGATAGCCATTAGGTTCTTCAACAAAGACAGCAGTTGTTTTATTTATGTGGTGGTAATATAAATTCATTTAGATATAAATTATAATTTGAACACAAACCTTTGTCACTCTTTAGGGGGTTGAACAGACCATGATATATCCATAAGATGTGAATCATCGCAACCCAAATGTTTTCCACCTCACCCCATCACTGATGACCAGAATAGAGACCTCCTGACTCATCTGTGAAGCAAGGCCCAGCTCAATGATGTGGAATGTAGCTTTAAGCTGGTCAAGTGGTACTTTAGGGGCTGGTTTCCCGGATACAGATTGAGAGTAGGCTTGGACTAAAAAGCATGTAAATCGAGATTCTCCACTGAAAGTGCATTTTAGTCAAGGCTTAATCTGTGCCTGGGAAGCTGGCTCTAGGGGTCGTTTCGATACATTTTAATTACTGCACCTTGAGTTTCATTCCAAGACATGTAGTATTGCTATAAACCTAGTAGTCAAGGAGACAATACGTGACCTTTGAAAGCAGTTCTAACAGCACATGTTCTGGGAGAAAATACTTCATATCTTTATACTCTCTTATTTGATCCGTTTTGATCCTTGGTTTTGTTTTGGGTTTGGAAATAGCCAGCAGTTTGCCAAAGGAGGATTGTGTTTTAGCCTACTCAGTGTACTCAAGCCTACTGTTTACTAAGCAGTTTGCAAAAGGATGATTGTGTTGTAGCCTACTCAATGTACTCAAGCCTACTGTTTACTAAGCAGTTTGCCTAAAGGAGGATTGTGTTGTATAACCTACTCCGTGTACTCAAGCCTACTGTTTACTAAGTTAAAGGCCATAGAGCAGAGGCAGAGAGTACTTTGCTGAAGGGCACAAAAAATAGTACACTACACCGTCCGCTGACTGATGCAAGACAATTAATTATGTTTCATGTCCTCATTGTGCTTTGAAATAGCCGGTCTTATCACATATGTACGCTAATATTGTTATTTTGGTTCATTTATTTACGTCTGTAGCATTTGCACCAGGTTAGCATCAAAGCTGAAGGTGTCAAATGTAAGGAGGTGTATGGAGTCTGAATGTCTCCTCAGATACAAAGCTAATGTCTGATATGAGACTTTAATAGTTGGACTAGATAAGATATAATAACCAATGTGCAGTAACGTAACTTTTGATATGTAGTAAGATGATAGAAGTTGTAAAGATACAGTGTATTCAGACCGCTTGACTTTTTCTACATTTTGTTACGTTACAGCCTTATTCTAAAATGTATAAAATTATTATTTTCCCTCATCAATCTACACAAAATACCCCATAATGACAAAGCGAAAACAGGTATTTAGAAATGTAAACAAAACATAAATACCTTATTTACATAAGTAATCAGACCCTTTGCTATGAGACTCGAAATTGAGCTCAGGTGCATCCTATTTCCATTGATCATCCTTGAGATGTTTCTACAACTTGATTGGAGTCCACCTGTGGTAAATTAAATTGATTGGACATGATTTGGAAAGGCACACACCTGTCTATATAAGGTCCCACAGTTGACAGTGCATGTCAGAGCAAAAACCAAGCCATGAGGTCGAAGGAATTATCCGTAGAGCTCCCGAGACAGGATTATGTCGAGGCACAGATCTGGGGAAGTGTACCAAAAAATGTCTGCAGCATTGAAGGTCCCCAAGAACACATTGGCCTCCATCATTCTTAAATGGAAGAAGTATGGAACCACCAAGACTCTTCCTAGAGCTGGCCGCCTGGCTAAACTGAGCAATCGGGGTAGAAGGACCTTGGTCAGTGAGGTGACCAAAAACCCGATGGTCACTCTGACAGAGCTCCAGAGTTTCTCTGTGGAGATGGGAGAACCTTCCAGAAGGACAACCATCTCTGCAGCACTCCACAAATCAGGCCTTTATGGTAGAGTGGCCAGACGGAAGCCACTCCTCAGTAAAATGAAGATGACAGCCCACTTGGAGTTTGCCAAAAGGCACCTAAAGGACTCTCAGACCATGAGAAACAAGATTCTCTGGTGTGATGAAACCAAGATTGAAGTCTTTGGCCTGAATGCCAAGCGTCAAGTCTGGAGGAAACCTGGCACCATCCCTACAGTGAAGCATGGTGGTGGCAGCATCATACTGTTTCCTGGCACTGACGGAAACATGGATTACCACTGAAAACACTGCTACTCCTACTGCTCTCTCCTCGTCTGACCATGTGTTCTCGCATACCCCGAGAGCATCTGGTCAGAGGGGTGGTGGCACAGGAATCCTCATCTCTCCCAAGTGGTCATTCTCAATTTTTCCCCT